GGAAGAGAAAGAGGGATGAAATGAAGGCAATTGAGAGAAGGGAGGCCATTGCACCAGCTCTCAACTCATGCATGAATTGGGTTTAGAGAGAAAGATAAAAAGGGGAGTGTTTTGATGAGTCAATAATGGGATTGGTGGAGAGAGATATAGCTAGTGGTGCATTAGAGAGAAAGTTGGGGCCAATTTCTGTGGAGAGAGAGGGAGATTGGAGGGGGAATGTAAATGAGATGAGATGTGGGTTGGTTAAGAGGAGGAGGGGGAAGAAAATCATAAATGCACCCACTTTCTTTTGAGTTATGGGAGTACCGTGGTCCTCAACGGGACGATGAATCATGCTTCAAATGTTTATTGGTCAACATCCATCTTCGTGTCAATGACTTTCTGTGATGTCTAAATAGGGAGGAGGATACATGAATTAACCGATATCACATTCGAATGAAAACATCATAAGATCATGGTTGAGAAAAGCTTAAAATAATTGATAATCACTACCTAAACCAATAAGGTGCCTTTTCTCTTTCGGTGGCTCAATCGTAAGAACAGTAATCTTGAGTTGGGTGACCTCTTATAGAAAGTGAGGACAAAAAATACTGAAAGGACTTGACTTGAGTTGGTCTATTAGAATAGTTTCGCACTCCTAAGTAGCTCAAATAAAGACTGTGGCTCCTAATCTTGGACTTGAGACGTTATTCTTTTGGTCTTTTAAAAAACTAAAAGATATTTTTTTTGCATTTCTCCCTCCTACTTGTAAAAAAGATGAATACTAAAACCGCTAAACTAGTGATTCGAATTCACGATGTTTTAGTTAGAGATAGATGTCTTAAATTAAGTTTGACACGTTATTAAGTAATATATTATTTTATTTTATAGACTCCACCCACCCTCCTTAAATAGCCTAATATTGACAAATTATAAATAATAGTGGTATAGAAAATTTTTGGTAGCATCATATATAGTATTAGAAATTTCCCACATCTATCTCTCCATCGGGTATTTCATGGATTGAATATAAGTACTTTTTAACAAATTATATGTATACATACCGTAGAGATTTGAACGTTTAATTTTTCTTTATCAATGATATATATTTTAATCAATTGAGTTATGTATTTTTTTTCTACTACATTTTTTTTTTGTATCCAGTCGCTCTATAGTATATTATTTAATCCTATCTAGCTAATAGATGAATATTTTGTATTTTTATACTTTTTTCTCTAGAAAATGGCTAATAACCTTAATTGGGACGTAAATGTATACTATAAATATTTTGATCGGATATTTTATTTTTGTTAATATTTAGAAATCTTGAGAATCATATATATTATATTTGAATGTGATTGGATCACAATGTAAAATTTTATCGTCTTTCTGGATTAAAAGTTAATTCCAACTTAGTTTCATATTTAATTTATTTTAATGAATGCTGTCTTTTATGCTTTAATAAAAAAAAATTATGTATTTTGATTTTTACACTTCGTCAAATTTTATCCTAAATCAGAGGCAGGCTATAGAATATTTAAGTTAAAAGTTACCCGTTTTATTATTAAATTTTTAGATTGTATCTATTTAGTTTCTATATTCTAAAAACATTGATAAAAATATCCATTGAACGTATTTGATAATAAAAGATTTCTTATAGGTTATGAAGTTTTAATTTTGTATCTAATAAATTTCTATTATTAACTCGGTTGATTAATGCTTACCTAATACACATTAGTTATATTATTTAAATATTATGTGATTGGTTAATTTTGAGCCTTTTAAGTATTAGTGTATATCAATCATATTGACCAATTTAACATCAACGACTGTTTTTTTAGTACAACAACATCAACGACTTACTATATACAAAATTTAAAATTTAATAATATACTAGATTTTTTTAATAATTGAGTTGTTCTAGATTTTTTTAATAATTGAGTTGTTCTAGATCGATCTCGTTGGAGGAAAAAGAGGAAAATGAAAAGTCAAAGGTAGTCATAATGATTTTTCTTCCTTTTTGAGTCATAACTCTTTATTTTTATTTTTATTTTGTTTATTTTATCAATCTCATCCCACGTGCATGCAAGCGTGCATTTTCTACCAATCTTCTTTTAAAAAAGGTTCTTTAAGATACCTCTTAATAATAGTTTTAAATTTTATTTATGCTTTGAAACTTTAGAACATTTTTTAATTATATATTTATTAGTTAAAAAATTATTTTATGTCATTTGGTCTATATTACTTTATAATTTTTGTACTGTTTGATTGAACAAGAAAAAGGTGATTTCTAAAATTTTTCAAATCACAATGAGCATTTTAAAAGGTTGATGGAGCACTTTAAATGACTTTCATAGAAAAAGTTTATATCACTATTTTCTTTTCCAAACATGATTATAGAATAATGGTTATCTCAAATTTAGAGCATTAAAAAATATCATCTTATACTTCGTAGGTTCCAATTACTTATAGGTTAAAAATTGTTTGATCGTTGAAGTTTTGAAGTTTCAAAAAAGACATTTTAGTCTGTGAGGTTTGGGAAATAGTTTCTTAAATGGTCTCTGAACCCATTTGATTGATAATTAAACTAACATAACAATATTGATTGGAGCGTTAAATTCGAAGGAATAAATTAAAATCGTAAAAAGTTGAGGGAAAAAAAAAGATAGAACCTTGCGATTTCATCTTCCTTGCATCCAACTACTAAAGCTTTCAATTTGCTCCCACTACGTAATCGATTGATTATAACTAATTGATTGAAGCAATTTGAAGTTAAGAGAATCATTTTCCAAACTGCGAAAACTAAAATGTATTTTTTGAAACTTTATAAGATATTAGATAAACACCAACTTCAAGTCAACATGAGTTTAATTCAATGGTAACCGACACGTGTTTATGATCAAGACACATGAGTTCAAAATTTCCACTTTGTAAATGTTGATTGAAAAAATCTTAAAAATTGCACCGTTGAAATTGAATATTGAATGCTACAAATAAGTCAAATTGTATATCATATATTTTCTTTTTATAGAGGAACTTTTATCTGTTTTTCCACTGTCATGCCTTGATCCCACCACTATATTTGTGTTTTTTTTCTTCTTATTTTGTTTATTTTTGCCGCTACCTTTTCAAAAGTCAGAGTTCCATAAATGTGCACATGACTTTTCTTCTTATATATAAAAAAAAATAATAATAATAAAATTGTGCATTTCCTCTGTTTATTATTATTGAATTAAAAATCCTTTTTCTTCTTTATTCATTTCCCCGAGATTACGGCAGCAATTTGGCTTTAACCCACAGCTCAGTTTTAATCAACTGTAATATATATGTATAAATGTATACACTCAAATATGATTTGTTATTTATTTATTTATTTAAAATCCAATATCTTAACTCTGTATTAAGACAGGTTGATATTTAATAACAATCAGATAACTTGTTAATATAAGTAAAAATTTTAGTAATTTTTCTTATTAGCTGATTTTTTTTAAGGGATATTGATATAAAAAATTTGAATTCTCACCTATATTACTATATATGGAAAGTTCTATTCCAAGGAGGAAGAATTAAAGAGTGATATTTTATCTTCTTACATTGTATATTTATATATTTTTAAATTACTTTTTATATTAGGTTAATTATGCAGAATATACATTTGCAGTACATAATTTTTAAAGATTCATATATCCTTATTAAAAATTAAATTATAAAATTTTATTGTTATCAATTTAGTCCATGAATTCACTAATAAATGATGATATAACATAATGTAATACAAAAGAATGTCAATTAAATTAGATATATGTTGTGTTTGTTCAAGTTCATAAACCAAACATAATGTACAATAATATATTATTATTATTTTTAAATAAAAATATAGTTAGGAAAAAAGACATTTTTAAACATAGATAAAATATAATTATTTTGGGATGGTAATGTGGGGTTAGGTTTAAGGTCTGAAATAATACTAATTGAGGAGTTAAGTCAAAATGGAGACATGGCACCCATTTGACTGGAGATGTGGGGCCCAAGAAGATGATGTCAGACTTTGAAATGACACCTTGGATATGACATTCTTAAATAATCCTCTTTGGATTCTTTTTTTTTCCTAATAAAAATAATGTATATATTTTTAAAAGTAACAAGAATGTGATAGTTTTGAAATCGTTTTCAAAAGTGGGGTAAAGGTAAACGGCAATCATTATTTAAGGTAAATCGTTTATATCGGACTCCATTTTAGTATAAATTATGTAGATTTGACACTAATTCAAGATAAATCGCGTGTTAGGACGTAAATGATACCAACTCGGAGAGCATAAGGTACATGATTTATCATTGTACAAGATTTCTATAAAAATGAAGATTTATGAGAAAATTACATTTAACAAAAATCGAGTACAAACTACAATATCTCATTGATAAATTTTGTACCATGTGTGCATTTACGTGTTGACTCGCCTCCGTACTTTATATTTCATATCATATGTTGCACCCTTAAATCGTGTTGAATATAATATACGTGATTCTTGACTTTGACCACAAACTACTCTATATTTCTATCAATAGTTTGTATATATACACCAACTTTACAATTTCTTATTTAATTTTGCATTTCTTTTGTTATTACTTGAAAGCAATGATATTTTTGTAGTTACTTTTTAAAATTTACCCAATTCGCTTTTTAAGAACCAAAACCGCATTTTTTCTTATCACAATCTCCTCTACGTGTTGTACCAGACAAAAATTTTAAGCGTAATATAGATGGCAAGATAAATTAGCCTTTTCTCTGTCTTTTTTTTTTCAACTTCAAAATAGGCAAATTTAATCCCATGGACTACGTCTCCAAATTGGGCCTAGTAATGTTCGGGCCGGCCCAAGTTGGACATCCATAGAAGAACAGTCCAATTGAACGAACAATTTGTTTATTAATTTAATATTTGCGAAAAAAGATTTTTTTAAATATCATCAATCTGACAACTGAAAGGAGAGAAGCAAACGAAACTCATCATTTTGTTAAAAATTCTCCCAATGCCATGAAATTCGGAAACTATCCTTAACGAAAAATCGAAGCTTCCTCGTTTTAATTCATTAATTTTCCTGTAAGTTCACAGTTCCATTCTTCTTTCTTCTTTTCTATCGTTTTTCTCCCCCCTCCCCCATTTTTTCCATCGCTTATTCTGGCTAGCGAATGAATTCTTCATACAATATTTCAGTATGTGCATCTTTATGAGAGGTTTACTATGAATTTGCATTTGCATTTGCATCTATTTCGAGCTAAAGCTGATGACTGAGGAATTATGAACTTTTTGCTTCCGCCCGCCATGTGTTTGATAATATTTGCTGTTTTGGGTTTCTAATTCTAACTATAAGTACTTCGATTAGTTGCGTACAACTTGTATAATTCTGTTACTTTATTTTAAATATCTGTAAATCTTATAGTTATAGCTGTTTTTAATGTGTTACTTGGTGGCTGCCAATAATTATCAGCATCCCTTCTCTTTATTAAGCGAGTTTTTCTGGTTTCAGGATGGATTGTAGTTCTTGTAACTACTCACTTGGCACTATTTCATCTTGTTCTGTTAAAAGAATTACATTTCCAACAAAATTGGAGTTCCGTAGAATTTTCTTTCAGAAGAAATCTGAATTTTTGAAACCCAGAGTATGCCCAGGTCTCAGTTTGCTGGATTCTTTGCAGGTATGAATGATTTCTTAATTTTCATTTATTTGCTTTAAATTTTCTATGCCTTGCCTTCTTTTCTTCTTCAGAATTTGAATCATTTATTATCTGTTCTGATTTGCAGCATATTAGTAACTTCAATTTCAAAGTCCTACCCAAATCTAAGGTTTCAGCATGGAAGATACCTTATTCATATTCACGTGGTATAAGAAGTGATTATCCTCAGAATGCCGATTTCCCCCAGTACTATTCTAAAAAGGAGAAAAAGCCATTTCCAATTCCCATTGTGCAATTGAGACGGGCTGCTAGGGAGAGGATGAAAAAGAGTAAAGGCCAGCCGAGACGACCAGCACCACCTCCAAAGAATGGGTTGCTAGTCAAGAGCATGATACCAATTGCCCACAATGTGTTCAATGCAAGAATTACATTAATCAACAATCTCAAGAAGCTCTTGCAGGTGGTAACTGTGCATGCTTGCGGGTAATTCTCTTCTTTAGTCTCCAATTGGTTGTCCTTAGCTAGTGATGGGAAAACCTCTCGAAGTTACTACATGGCATGTTTGAAGTTTGGCGCTTTGAAATAATCTTCTTACAAAAATGAACATGTTTTTCATTAATCTATCAGTTGTAGTTTATCATACTTTTCTGAACATAAGATGGTTGTTAAGTGTCATTGCATTGTAAGTAACTTTATCAACTCTTTGATAGGCAGTCTGTCTTTATGTGGTTATTAGTAATTCAAATAACTTCGCTAGGATTGATGGTTACTACTGTTGGTTTGATCAGAGGCTCTATGTTGCAATAAGCTGCTCGAAATCTGCTCGATTTCATATTTTGCTATAATTCTAATGTGTGTTATTTTAATAATGTGATTTTAACGTATGCATAACAATTTAGAATGAACGTTGATAAATTCTTGTATTATTGATTGAAAGTAGACACTATTGAATTAACCAATGAGAAGCATCATAAATTGTATACACAGACAACTATATAGCTCCTTGATCGCTTCCACTCCCACATCCCGACCGACTTGATCGCTGTTAGATTTAAGATTCATGACTGCTTAAATGTGAGATATCATGCAACATTCTTCCTCAAATAGCTCTTCACAACTTTGTCTAAACGTGATGAAAGTTATGCAGGTTTTGCAATGAAATCCATGTGGGGCCTGTTGGACATCCATTCAAGTCATGCAGAGGGCCGAATGCCAATTTCCGTAAGGGACTTCATGAGTGGACAAAGGCAACTCTTGAAGACATATTCCTGCCTGTAGAAGCATACCACCTCTACGATCGCCTTGGAAAGCGTATTTCTCATCATGAAAGATACTCAATTCCACGAATTCCAGCAGTAGTTGAGCTTTGCATTCAAGCAGGTGTCGATCTACCTGAATATCCTGCAAAGAGGAGAAGGAAACCGATCATCCTCATCTCAAAAAGTGAATTCATCGACGCAGACGAAAGTGAACTACCAGACCCTGAACCAGAACTACCTCTGATACCTCTTTTAACAGAGATACCAGATTCCGATGCCGAGGCTCCAAGCGACGAAGAAGATATAGCTTGGCTTGCTGACCAAACGCTTCAAGCATGGGAGCAAATGAGGCAAGGAGCCAAAAGACTCATGAAGATGTATCCAGTGAGAGTATGCGGGTATTGTCCGGAGGTACATATTGGTGGCAGCGGGCACAAGGCACAGAACTGTGGAGCCTTCAAGCACCAACAACGAAACGGGCAACATGGTTGGCAACGGGCCGTGCTCGATGACTTGATACCGCCCAGATACGTGTGGCACGTACCAGACATAAATGGACCTCCATTGCAGAGAGAGCTAAGAAACTTTTACGGGCAGGCACCTGCAATAGTTGAAATATGCATTCAAGCTGGCGCTGCTATCCCAGATCAGTACAAATCAACCATGCGAATGGATGTGGGAATTCCCTTCGACATTAAAGAGGCTGAAATGGTAGTTTGAGGATTCACCACTTTGATATTTTTGTATACATTGTCAATATGCTATGTTTTGGCTCCAGAAGGAATTTGAAGAAGACTTTTTAAAGCCTTCTTATTCAGTGCGACCACCACGAGCATGGGCAAAACCGTCTTTTACCTTAATCTTCGCAAGTAGTATCAAATGAAGGCGAAGATTGCAACACTTATCCGCGTTTAAGGTATTATTATTTTTCGGAATATATCGCAAATTTCTTACGATGATTTAAATATAATATTAAAAAAGCAATCCAAGGAGAAGAAAAGCAGAGCGAGTCCAATGGGGCTTTGATGGAAAATGTCAAAGAACTCCAAAAACTTTTTTACACCAAAAACGAACTTCAACTGCCATGATCTACAAACAACTGCCACTTGTTCAATCCCAATTCCACATCCTCCCCTTTTTCTTCCATCGCCATTTTCCCGCTTTTGCCCTAATCCCAAATTTCGCAAACGAGCAGGAACAGCACAGAGTTCACAGAAAGAAAATCGAAAACCAGAGGAAGAACAGTTCTGATCAGACAGAACAGAACAGAACATCGGCAATGGCAGGATCGCAGCAAATGAATGGTCCATCTCCGGCTCAGCACACCACCGAGGTTCTTTCCCAGCGCAAGAAACTGCCGGTTTGTCCGATGAAAATGGCGGTCGGCGGCTTCGTGATCGCCGCCACACTCGGTTACTTCGTCCTCTGCACCAAGAAGAAGCCCGAGGCTTCCGCCCTTGACGTCGCTAAAGTCACCGCCGGCGTGGCTACTCCGGAGAACACCCGTCCCCGCACGTAGAATTACAAATTGGAACTTAACCATAACCTGTACTCTTCTTCTTCTTCAAAAGAATTTCGTCTCGATTTTTTTTCTTTTTTTTGTTATGATCATTCTTGTTCGAGTTTGATAATGATATGTATTATTTTTGTCTAATTTTCAATTCACAGAGATCGTTAGAAGTTTCACCTATTTTTAAGGGAGAAGAATTACGGATAATTGAGCGCCATTTTTCTGTATTGAATCCATTGACAAATGCATTAGGTTATCTCCTCTTTTTATTTAGCATGTAAATTTCTCATAATAATTTAACAATAATCACATATTTAACGATTTAGCATGTACAAATTAGGTTCAAATTAAAAATTTATTACAACTTTTTAATAAATTTTGAACTTTAAAAAGTGTGTAGAAAATTCAAAACTATCAAAAAGAAAAAAAAAGGTGCATAATAATTTAATAGGTCATTAGACATTTTCTTAAATTCACAATCTATTAAAAATAATATTAATAGATTAAGATTTTATTTAATACAAAATTTAATCTTGTGTTTAATAGAAGATCCATAAATTAAAAAAATATATATTGAAATAAGTTCAAGATCTATTAGACACAAAATTGAAAGCTGAAGAACGTTTTAGACACGTTTTAAAGTTCATAGAGTTATTAGTCATAATTTCAAAGATATAAAACACTAAACTAAGAATTATATCTACGACTAACTTTAAGTCATAATTTTAACACCTTTTGGTTTATTATTATTAGTATATTTATATCCGCTTACCATCGTTATAATTGTATACAAAAGAATTGACCATGGAGGCATTTGCCTTCATCATAGATATTCGTAGCATTTTCTTTTAGTATGAATTATGAAACAATTCTTGACCTTCACCTTCCAATTTATACCATAATGGATGAGTAAGAAGACTCGAATTGCTCGTTGAATCTTCCTATATTTCCAAATTACCTAAACTGATTCTTTGACTTTATGAAGATTATATATCAAGAGCTCAAAAAATTTAATATCAACAAATATGATGTGATTTGTTGATTTATAATCTTTTATAGTCTTATCTCAAAAAAATAAATAATCTTTTATGGTCTTCTCCATTGTTATATGATATGAGATTTGTCAAATGAACATGTTTGAGTAATTTGGTTAGCTTGTCATAGATCTAGCCCACTCAAATATTCTTGTTCCATTAGAATAACGATTAACCACTAATTTTGAAATGTCAATCACTCAATTTTAATCAATATTTTTCAATATATATACTTTTAAGATATGAATCTTTTCAAGATTCAGACACTGGACTTCTCTTATTTTCTCTGATTTGAAATCTCACTTTACATGATATAAAAGAGACTTCAGAGCCGAGATTGAAGGGCCATTCAGACATTTCTCATCTTCTGCCCTATTTCTTCATTCTCAATTCTTGTAAAGATTGTTTCAAATTCACTCCCCATGGACTGCATCTTATTCTCTGAAAATTATATATAGAGGCAAAGAAAAGCATACAATCCATAAATATCATCAAGTACAAGTCTAAACAATCTGATCCAAGTTCAAGTTTTAAAAGAAGTTTTATATAATTCAACCAAAGTTTTACTTCGTCTGAGTCTCGATTTAATCTCTCTCTCCAACTTAGGATCTGAATGAGTCAGAATGTCAATGTGAACATAGTTCAACTGTTCTGAGTTAACCCGTAAAAGTGAGAAAAGTAAGCAGAGTGAACTAACTTGAATTCTTTTCCTTCATTACTAAACATAACCAGGGAGTACATCGGAACTGTTGCTTACAATTCTCTCCAAGTCTCCTATTGAGCAGTAAGTAAAAAAAACATAACAAAGGGCCAATGAACAACAAGTAATAACTGGAATCTCCAAAACAAACTGTACTAACAAGATTTTCTTAAGGAAAAAAAGAAAAAAGAAAAGAATGAAAAGCCGCATCTAAATCCAAACAATTTCCAGGAGATGCTGTTGTGTTTTTTCCTATCCCAGGCCCGAGTGAGCTTGTTCCCCCTTTCTACATGAACAAAAACTTTCATATTTAACATTTCTGCAAGAAATCAGTCGATTTTCACGGACGAGTAGATGAGTCTTGTGAACCAGAAACAAGCGTAGAATCCAATGGTGCCAGTCAGCACAAAGAAAGCATAGGAACCAATCAGCATATACCCAAAGTACAAAATTCCCGATACTGGCTTCGTAATCTCGAGCTTCGTGAAGAAGTAGAAAGCAGCATAGAGGAAGAGGTAGAGTGCAGAGGACCCTGAAGTCAGGTATGACCTCCACCACCAATGGTAGTCCTCACTGCACAGCTGGAAGTAGCAGAGCACAACTGTGATCTCAGCGCAAGTGACTATCAGGATGAGGAAGACAATGAAGAGGAAACCAAATATGTAGTAGAATTGGTGCAACCATATGGAGGTGAGGATGAAAAACAGCTCAATAAAGACTGCCCCAAATGGGAGTATCCCTCCGATGAGAACGGAGAAAGTCGGGTTCATGTACCAAGCTTGTTCTGGGATCTGTCTCGGGATCTTGTTAGTCTTCACAGGGTCCTCAATCGTTGGCTTCTTGAACCCAACATAACCACCCACAAAGACTAGAGGAACTGAGATACAGAACCATAAGAAGACCAGAGCAAACATGGTTCCAAATGGCACTGCCCCAGAGGATTTCTCCCCCCAGATCAGAGCATTCAAAACAAAGAAAATGGAGAAGATTGTGGCAGGAAACGTGACTGCTGTTTTAAGTGAGATTTTCTTCCACTCTGTTCCCTTAAACATCCTATATAGACGAGAAGAAGAGTAGCCAGCAAAAAGGCCCATAAAGACCCAAAGTAGGAGCATGGCAGTCATTAAACCACCTCTGTTTGAAGGGGAGAGGAAACCAAGTGCAGCAAATATTATGGTGACAAGACTCATGCCAAAAAACTGAACACCAGTACCAACGTACACGCAGAGTAAATCAGACTGTAACGGGGCCCTGAAAACATCACCATGGACCAGTTTCCAACCAGTCTCTTCTTGAGCTTCTTCTTGGGTTTCCAACTGATTATATTTTGAAATATCACGGTATAGTGTTCTCAACATAATCATGGCTACCATACCCGAGAGGAAAAGAACAATCATCAAAGAATTAACTATTGAAAACCAGTGAATCTGATCATCAGCCATCAGAAGATAGGTATCCCACCTTGATGCCCATTTCACATCACTTTCCTAAACATCCAAGTATAAAGTATTAGAGGAGGGGTGGGGGGCCAAGAAGCAGCATGCACTTGACAATAAAGATGCACATAAAAATTTATCAATATGAGTGGTACTGCAACTAACCTGATACTCCACATCATAAGTAAATATGATTTCATTCTTATCTTCAACTTCTTGAGGAGTCTCAGAGTTGGTAACCATACGTTTTGCATGCGGGTCACAGGTTGTTAAGCGGGTATTAGTACCAGACCAAGCACCTTCATACCCATGCTTTACACTAGATGCATAAGATATGTCACGCAAATTATATAGCTAAGTAATTTCTATATAAGAGCGGAGGACTAAGAAAATTCTATTCAAGGCAAGCAAAGCAGTACAAGAACCTGAATGGTTTGACCTCAAATCCTACGATCCTCGACAACTCAGTCACTTGATCCTTGTGAATCTTAACCGTGAAGGTTAAGTGGTTATAGATAAAATGCTTTTCCTCTTTGCTCTACAGAAATTAAACACATACATTTACTTATATATCAAGATTACATGAAATAAGATGTCAAATTATTCAAATTATGAACAACATATCATCATATACCCCAGCATACTGTCCTCTGAGACCAACATGAAAGCCATGTTGATACACAATTGAAGATTCCTGATCATTCCTTTGTATGGGAAAAACAAGCGGAAGATTGTCCAGAATCCTGCATGTAAGAGAAAGGTATTTAGACAATAATCCGTAAGTTAACATCAAAATCAATGTGTATAGTCCTTTTGAAAACGATGCCTTACATGTTCACCCGATACTCATCATCTATCTTTTCCTTGAACAGCTTTGACATTTTACCATCAAGAACTAAGCGACACAGGATCGTACACATCTCTGGTTCCCTCATTTTGAACTACGAGAAACAATAGATTATTTTAGTAGTCAAACAACAAAAATGAAAAAAGAGGACCAAGAAGGTTGCTTGTACTATTTTTATTTAAAACCTAGCATACCTCAAAAGGAGAGTTCTCAATACGATCACCACGAAGAACTTCTCCAAGATTCTCAGCGCTATCAAATATTTGCTTTGGACGACAATATGGGAGGGAATAATAAGAGTAAGGAAGCTGAGTTTTAATGGAGGTCAATTTGTTAACTTTGACCCTCAGAGGATCTCCCTGCACCAGTAAAAAAACAAATAAATAAACACTTTAGCTGCATTTCGATGCCATTCAACAGAGAGCCATGGAAATGCCACGAATTTTCATTTCCCAATAAATACCTCCTACAAGGAACGGAGATTCAGCGCAATAATGTACACAGTGAATTGATAATTTCAAACTTGTTTCAAATTTGATATTCCCCAACACTTCATTTCGAGTTCAAAAGATCAAGCAGATTCGGTTGATTTTCACAACAAAAGGCATTACAAGGGGAGAAATCAATTACAGAAATTAAGAAACCCAAAAGAAAACGAAATTCCCAATTTCTCAACCACCCTAAAACCAAGAAAATCATGTAACGTCCAAAAATCACACGTGAATGCAAGATCTGAGAACCCAAGAACGAAAGACGAAGGCGAAAAAAAAGAAAAGAAGATCAAACCAAACCATAATCGAATCAGAATGAGATGCGAACTCAACCAACCTTATGAAAGTCCTGGGGAGCCACACCGGGGAGATAGAAACAGGAAGCACGGAAGAAGAGGAAGAGACATGCGGAGATCCAAAGCAGCAACACGAGAGGCCCTCTCGCCATGGCTTACACAAGGGATCTAAAATCCCAAACTCAGATCCACAACTTGCTTCGAAAACTCTCCTCCCCCTCGCTGAATCGCCCGCTGGTTTTTGGTGCGAGAAGAAGAAAGACGAATAATTACTGTTCTTCACCGATGCCGAATGAATTATAGAAGACGATGCCCCTATGCGCCATTCAGAGCCGTTCGATCTTCTTTTCTGGCCCTAACATGCGGCGTAGATCGAAACACGACACAAATTCGTTCTGATTTATTTTCTGTAAGGAACTCAAAATTTAATTTATTTGCAAAATGCTTGTTACTTGTAAAAGAATGAGATGTATGATTCGTTTTTAATGTCAAAATCAAAAAATAATTTCCTTTTGCATTTGGTGTGTGATGGAAGCAACGTTAGATTATTGTAAGTGAGATATTTAATTCTTATTCTTTACTATTTGGAATATACATTTTAAATAATTAATTAATGGCGCTCAATTTAATTAAACTTATTAATACTAATTTTATCCTAAGTTAGATCACATTACTTCATAACCAAAAGGTTTTATTTTATTTTACATTACTTCATCAATTTAAATATAATTTTCATTTCAAAATATTGATGAACTGCATGAACAAAAATACTTCATCTTCATTTATATTCCATCATAATCTTAGTGAACACAATTTTTTAAATTTTAGTTTCATTACAACAGTTATTCTTTTTCAATTGATTTTCAATCCAATTTTCTCTCAGATATTGGGTTGATAGAGAGGTTCCAAGTTCCAACTGCCTTCCATAAAATTCAGCAAATGGTAATATTCAACAATGAATCACTTCTGAAACTTGCTTTCATGTAGGAAAAAGGGTAAGAAATTTTGATACAACTTTGAACTCTCTCAGAAACAAACTAGCAGTTTTGGATGATAATTTTGAAGGAACTCAAGTGTCATTTGAAGCTTATTATACAGAGTGTGAAAACTATAAACATTTACTTCTAGCATCAATAAATAGAGATGATTTGGAGCTTAAACAGAGAAAAAATGGAGAATTCTGAGTTGAAACAAATGGAGATTTAGTGTTACTCTTGACTTGTCGTTTCGAGCATTCTGACGGTGCGAGAAAGCATGAACTCGGAGAACAAAGGGTAGTGAGAGGACGGATAAAACCCGTCGATATTATCATTCACCACTTCACACAGGACAGGGATCAAAGATCTACCTCTGAAAAGAATCCAATCTACATGTAGATCTTGGGTCTGGCGATCCCAGCAAAGGCAGAGTGCTCTTAGAATCAACTTGAAGAACTCCAAAGCTCCCTGTTTATCACCTGAAAAGGATCTCGTGGAGTTAGGAAGGTTGAACAAGCTCGTAAACAAGTTTTGGCTAAGCAAAAATTGCGTACCTTTGAAACCGTGGTAAGTTCGAATGAGAGAAACATTCTTCCTCGCCCGAGCAATCGCCCATGTATCTCTCATGTCCCCCACTGCACCTTTTTCTCTGCCAACAAGGAAGTGAAGCCACAGAATAATCTAGAGTTAAATAAAATACGTTTGGTACTGAAAACAAAATCTACAATGATCCATGGCTAATTAAGCAAGTTAAAAAAGGTTTCTTTCTCCAGCCACTAATGACTAATGAGAAGCAATATGTAGGATTGCACACACAATCCAGATTGATAACTACTAATTAGAGGCTTTTTTTTCAACTACCTGGATCTCCCGAGAAGAAAACGGCCCGTAGTTGATTCCTTTTCCGTGTTGAAACCTCCACAGTATATAACTGGCAAGCTAGGGGGTAGAGATGCAATGTGCTGCCATGTAAGCAAAGCACTTCGCCTACGGGCACGGGGATTGACCTCGTCCATGTTCGTATTTACAATCTGAAATGAGAATCCAGGAGGCTCGACTCCTTTCAGTTGGAATGTGTGGGCATCACGTCAAGTTAACACATAATACAAAGTTCTCCATACAAAGTCAAAATGATGCGCAGCATGCAATGTAAGAGAAGTCATAATGAAATATCAAGGATATCGCCCAAGTTGCAATATGTGGAACAATCGAACCCCAAGACATACTTCCTGGAACGGAAGGTGATTCTGATAACCAAAATGTGCCGCCTTCTAACAGCTCTACCTTTTTAATGGAGGGAAGAAATGATAAAGCAGAAAAAACCACACCAGATTATCGGACTTGAATTAAAACTGATGCCAAATCAAAAAGGAAAGTAATCTGATACCTTCTCCTTGTCATAAAAGATTGTGCAATGTTCATCTGAATCGTCATGGGATCCTTTTCTTGAAATTCCAAATTGGTCATAGCCTAAAAGATACTTAATACTTCAAGTTACAAGCAGAAGAAAATCTAATTCAAAAGATAAGGATAGAGACCTATGAAAATATCGATACGATTTTAAGCAGTTGCTTTACGATTGTTTTCTTCACCCATTTACTGTCTTTCAAAGTTTTATACGGGGAAGAAAAGTCCAGTTCCCATTAACACGCCTAGGCATCGGCAATTGCCGCCTAAGATTGAAGCATTCATTAATCACGTTTCGTTTTCATAAATGTAGCCCAATGCTCCAAAATTGATAGTAAGTATTGTGCATTTAATGAAAATCATATGAAGATTAATACTACTAATACCTCAACAATTGGTCAGCAATCAAGCCTGTAATTCATTCACACTAGCAGATTAATCATTGATAATTTTAATAATTTGAGCTTCACCAAATTTTCAATCAGGTAGCTTATCAGTGAGGAACTTCTTTGTATCATGTATATCAGTAAAATCACTTTTCTAAGCATCATTTCCTCCATATTGTCATGACACTGTTAAGGACAAAATAAAAGATTTTGGCATCACAGGCTTATATTACAATCTCCCATCAGACATGGTAAAAACATTATGATCTCATTTGAACAATGATAAGCCTACAAGTTTGTAAATAACCTCAGTAGAATAGAAACACATACCAGGCAATCCCTGCTGAAGAAATTCCAATTGAGATTTCACACCTGGAAACCCATCAAGGAAAAGAAATGAAGGAATCAGAGAGGAAAATGGTAAAAGAGGGCATCAGTTTTTTTCTCAATCAAATGAATTGAACTCAATCACTGAAGTTAGCCAAAAAAGAATGACAATCAACAGTCCACTGGAATAGCCACACTGCCCAATGGAAGCAAACAACATTAGAGCTTCCCAACAAAATAACCCAGGCCGTGGCTTTCAAAACTCAAACGAAATCCTAAAGAACCAAAAACCCACCAACAAAACTCGAATCAAACAAAACCCAGATCAATTATTGCGACAACAATGACACCAAAGATCAAGATCCGCGAGCATTCACAGAATCGAATATGCAATACCATAGAGTAACATAGCAGTAGAGGAAAAGTCACCTACCACGCTGAGTACAGAGAATCGCGGGAGAATAGCTAGTGATGACACTAATACACAAATCCCTCCTCTTCTCCCATGAATTTGAACTCTCCGGTGGTTGATCGTCATGGAGATTGAAGGTCATTACAGTCAAAGTAACACTCATTTTTTCTCCAAAATTTCCTGAATCCCTACTTTTTCTGGATCATTGATTCTAAGACTAGAAAAGTTGTGCACATATGAAGTAGCAGCTATAGCGTGTAGGTACATTCCATCCTTCTGGTTGGGGTTAAAGAATCAGTAGTAGCTGAGGTTGGGGAGGGGGGAGAGAAAAACAAGTCCCGATTTCGTTTGATCATGTCTGAACTCTGAAGGGAGGGTACTGGGGTTTGACGACGCACGTGCGAGTCCCACAAATCAATGCCTGGATCACGTGCCAAATCTTGAAATTGACCTCGGATGTTCATGGGTCGGATTGGATTGGGTTAATGGAATTTATTTAGATCAACTCGATTCATATGCTCGATTGAAGTGAGGTTGTTTTACAACTCAATCCAACATTGTCATCAGATTTATTATTATTATGAAACTATTTTGTTGTCGAAGTGAGTATAGTTCAGCCATAGATTATGAGGAAAAAATGAAGCGAGAGGGAGAAAATGATTAAAAACCCTCGACCTAAACACACACACATATACAAACAAAGTCGGAACCGACTTTGAAGGACTTTTCTTTTCTAAATCCGATAAACAAATAGTGTGTGTATATATATATATATTAACAAAGTCAGTTCGATTCGGGTTGAAAGACTTTTCTTTTCTAAAATCGATAAACGAATTGATTAGTCGATTCTTACATTTTTTAACCCAACCCAAACCGAGAATTTACCTAATCCAACCTAATCTTAAGATTTGGATTAGGTTACTCAGATTATTCGAGTTACCAAATTTTTTGAACATTTCTGAAGGTGACCATTTATTATATCATTTGAGTTGCATCAGGAATATAGTAATAAAATTTTTAATAATATAATATAACGAACATAGGCAAGGAGTCAAAAGATTTGATATTCCAATTTTTACCTCCACGGTTGTTTTGTCAAACTAAAAAAGTATTAGATAATAATTATAAATTTATTTTCCAATTTCAAATTTTAATAAATGTTACAATCATTAATCATAAAATATCTAATTATAATACCATCATCTAGATTCGAATCTTAAAGAGAGATCAGGCATTTATTTTCTGTACTTTTTAAATCGATTATCAGATCTTCCACCATAGAATTGTTTGATCCTCTCTTCTTTTTTTAGTACATTTCGTTATTACATATTTACTTTTCATAAATGAAATATCAATTCAAATATAAAATTTCTTAAACAATAAACAACCTCTATATATTTCTAACCTAACTTAATTAGTTAAGACATATACTATAAACCAAAAGGTCGTGAATTCGAATCCAAACTCTCATTTATTATACTAAAAAAAAATTCTACATACTTTGAAGATACGACAATGACTAGATGAAGTAATAAATCACAAGACAATAAGACAATGCAGTTATGCAGAATCTAGTCTCTCTAGTGGCAACAAATCTTCAAATCAAATTGTTTGAGCTTGAAATTGCTAAGCTCGGATTGGGTGTAGGTCGGAGTGGACTGGATAATCTTCTTTAAACTGCCAAACACTCTTCCAGAGCACTTGAGGAACCTGCAAAACAGATTCTTTTTATAATTCTAAGAGTTTTAAAAGAAATAACAAACTTGTTTCTAAATATCTCAAAAGAAACAAAAAAATGGGTCATCAAAAACATTTTATTTATAAAACAAACAATAAAAGAACTTTCACAAAGAAACCCAATTCTAGTATTTGAATTGAAAGAAATATACGAGTTGAATGAAGCTAAAAAAGAAAAAAATTCGATAATAAGTAATGGAATGATCCACGGCTCATCGCACCCCGACGAGCAACTTAGTTTCCAGTTCGACATAACTTGTCGATTCTATCTAGGATTGCGTACCTTACATTCAAGACAGGAGTTTCTATTTATAGAAACTGGGCCCGACAGGAACTCTGACACACCTAAAAATGCGGCGTGTTGTCGGGTTTGGAAGAGACATTGTTACGGAAATTGTTGAAAGTCGGCTCGACTTCTTAGGTCATACCCTAACTGCCGACCTAAACGTTTTTGGGTCAATTTCCTTATTTTGCATGGGTGTCAATTCAACTCACCTCTTCGGTCATGACACGTGGCCGGCCAAAATTCACATCCAACACAAAATAATACGAAATTTGAGAGGGAAGAGTGCAACTTTTTAAATTTTAAAAGTCACTTTTTAGTTTTTTATTACTGTTTTTAGCAGAAAATCAATGACACGAGAACCATTTCAAAAACCTCATCATTTCAATGAAAAAATTTTGATTTTGATTTTTTTTGTTTTGTTTTTTAGTTTCATGAACTATTTATTTTTTTATTTTGGATCATGTGCTCTCAGGGGATGATAAAAAGACTTGTGTACAAATAGAAAACTTGAAAAACTTCCCTCTCTTTTTATGACAAAATCAAAGGGCTGATTTGCTAATATGATCAATCATCAATTGTGGTGCTCAACTACTTTACATAAGTAAAAGTCTAAGCCAACCTGTCAGCTCAGCATCAACTTTAACTATATCCTCTTATATTTTATGTTTTTATTTTAAAACTTTTTTTTTTGACACTTCATATATTTTAGAAATGTTACATTATAATTTTCCATGAAATAAACAACATATTATTTAATTTAATTTACAAGTATATGTATAGATTATTCTCAACTATCTTAATCTCAAGCTTTTTAAATTGGTTTAAAGTATTCGTTCTAACTTGGAATATTCTAATTGTCCGATGCCTTTATTATTTTTAAATTCTTAAAATAAAATAAAATAAAGAGGAATGGTATTCGCCCAATAATAAATTTAGTCCAAAATCCTAACTTTCAAGTAAGGTATCAGTTTTTAGGTAATGGAGGTAGTGGCAGTGTATTACAGACCATTTGAAAGATTCTCGTTCACTTATGACTCGTAAGGGAATAATATAGTATTTTGGTTTCTATCCTCGTTGAGGAGGGTCGATGGGAATTCGAGACAACCCCCAACATCCACCGATGTTCCATTGAACCTCTCTCTTCACCCATCGCGTCCTTTTTTGTGTCGGAGATATAAAGCGAGTGCATCGGAAAAGAACGAGAACTAAGTTGATCCACCGATCGTGTTTATTTTGATTCCTATACTTTAAACTTTTGTCTATTTTAACCTATGTATATTTCATTTTAATTACGATACTCAACAAGACACTACACTCAATATATTTTTTAAAAGGTTTATGTTACATCACTTTTTCAAAATACAGAAATTAAAGCAAATGTCTTGAAAGTCTGAAAACAAAAATGAATCACAATAGACATTTTGAGAGTAGAAATACCAAAAAGTATTTTAACTAATAATATAATAATAAACACAATTTTTTAGCTCATCCCATCTTATCTCTTATTGTCATACAATTATATTTTAGCCATTTGATTCAGTTAATCTTTTTTTTTTTTTTGAACGGGGAGTCGAAGCTATATCCAGGGACATTCACGTCTGCCCCAAGGTCCAGACTCATGAAACATCAAGGATTTTTAGTTTAAGCTCATCAAAATATTTAAACTTAAGATCATCAAAATATTTAAACTTAAGACCTCTAAGTTAGTATAATCGAGAGACTCCAAGCCCTTGTTAACTAGACTGTCGAAATTGATTCAATCAATCTACTATGAGCTCACTCTCCAATAGTTTCAAAGATTTTTCCAAAATTTCATTTCGTCCCAAAACTTATTAGTTAGTGTGATTTGCTAGACCTATCTATCATTTACAGACTCGAATAAGTGATGATATTAATCCGAAATAATAGTTCTCTCATTAATAAATTGGAAATAGAACTCAAGATAGCTGCTAAGTTGCTACTAGTCTCTTCTAAAAAGTGAAAACCAGAATTTGAACCCGACCCTGTAAGAGATGTAAGCAAAAACGGTGCGAATCATCTCCTTACCAAATCAGGGAGGTGTATAAATACCAAATTTACACAACTGTTACATAAATGGCTAAGGAAAAGGCCAAAAAAAAAGGGGAAGAAAAAAAAAAGACAAATGGAAATTGGTAGAAAAATAATCAAACCTGCTAATCAAATATTTCACATAGAGAGACAGCTACATGTTCATAAAGAGTCTCACAGTTATTGCTTGGGAGGCGTTTCGTTCAGCAGGGCTTGATTTCAAATCCAATGCTTAGAAGAGTTCGAGCAGATTCCATGGCTTTCTCACCTCCAAGGTCCAAGGCCTCACCAGTCAGCTCTCCTTCAGCATCCACAGACCACTGTGTCGAAGAAATTTGGCTCTGAACAGCGTCTGTCTTTTTCGGTTGCATATTGTTCATGGAGGCTGGAGCTGCAGCAGCTACAAGAGGAGCGCTTGGTGGACCGTGTCGTTTCTTTGGAACGGGCGTGTCATGGTCATGAATTCCCTTGTATGTTATAATCACTGCGTTTGGATTTTCCACAGCTGATTCAATGTGCTTGCGGACGGGACACCCAGCAGAGGTACATCTGTAGTAGTTCCTGAAAATTTTATTCCACCAACGTCGAGATCAGATGATGCAAAGGAACAGAGAATGATTTACTCAAAATTAATTGGAGATGTTTGTTCTCTTTCTGTTCTTAACATGAAGATAGTTTTCCAAATTATGGAGTATGAGCGGTAATTTCACATGACTGCAATAAGATTAAGTTCAATTGATAGACGCAATGGAATAACAGAACTGGAGACAATTCCATGGAACCAAAGCAAAATCTGACAATAAGCATGGAATATAACAAAAACACATATATTTCAGCACCAGCAGAATGGTCCAGGACAATCGGGAATAAACAAAACTAGTCTAATTAAAAAACTGTCTTGTTTTCCATCAAATAAGCAGTGTGACATAAATTATAAAAAGGTATTCACCTAGGATGAGGATTTCCTTTCACCATTTTTTGACCATACTTGCGCCATCTATATCCATCACCCGAGATTCCCACATCGCCTGCAGCATGCACCACAAATTTTGGTTTCTTTCCAGGTTTTAAGGGAGAACCTGAGTACCCGGCACTGCTTTTCTTAACTCTAATAACCAGTAAGGAAATAGAAGGTTAGCACTATGTCAAAGCTAACACTTTCTAAGCATTTTATACAGGAGTAGAAATAAGAACAAGGGCTCTGCAACTGGAGGTGCCGACTTACTTTAGTTTTGTCTCAGGTTCATTGACATTCTCATCTTTGACCTTAAATTCTTCATTTCCATCAGAGTCGTTTGAGTACTGTCGTTTTCTTTCAAGGACTATAGCTGTTTCCCGTAAAGGTTCTTTTGAAGGCGTGGGAGGATCTGAGTCACTAATTATTCTTCTGGAATGTTCTGCAATGATTTTTTTAACCACAGGTTCAACATATGGTACAAGCTTGCTTTCCTTTGGGTTGTTAATCTTCCTGGGTGGATCATGGCTATGTTGGCTCTTGTAAACAATCTCTGTTACGTGGCCTGAGTGATCACAACATTCAATCTTCTTAGCACAGCATTCAGAATATGTACACTTGTAATAGCTACGTGAGCCCTTGGGACTCTTCACTTGCTTCTGACCATATTTCCTCCAATTGTAACCATCAGAAGCAGGTGTCCTAACATTAACAACAGGAGATACAGTTCTACGGTCGGAAGAATTTTTCTGGCTCGGTTCTGGCTGACATTCTTTATGGACCTTCTTGGGTGACAGTTTATGTTCGGATAAACTTGGGCTTGCAGAGGATGAGATAGACTGGGTTACTGAAGTTGGCGACTGATCCGAACCAGGTCCTTTACAAGTTGCACCTTGTTCTTGCACCTGATCTGTCTGGACTGCTTCAACAGCCAAAGGCTCATTGCAGGAAGATAGAACCGGCTGATTATAGGAGAATGAGAAAAATAAATTAGACAGTGAGGACAGCAATATACTAAGGCATCAAATCATCAACAATGAGTCTAGCTCTCAGCCGTTCTACAAACTTTCCTGACTTCATCGTAAGGAACTTATTAATTCAAAATATGTGTCTCGAAGAAATTTAAGTTACATCAGATTGTTCATTTGAAATTTTCACATTTCAAGTTATCACAAATCTTTCAGGCTCATAGAGAAAACATCATCAATGACTAATCACTTACCCCTCAAATGAACAACTTAAACTGAATCTTTGAGGGGGATAAATACCCAGTGAGTAAGCTTTGCAACAAGAACATATGTTGATGGGAAACTACAATCTACTAGTAATGAAGGAAAATATGAACTTCAAAACCAGAAAGTGAAAGTATTTAAACAACAGGACATGAACCATAGTTTTAAATAATATGGGGAAAACATAAAAAATATGACCAAGGATTCATACATGCTTCATGTTCGATCACAAAAGATCAGTATTAATATGATAATTAGTTGAGTGGAAACTGCAGTCTCTTCAATCATACACTTACTTCTTATAAGACTTGTAAAGAAACCCCAACTCTCTTTCCTAAAGGCTACCCGGAGGACACAAAAGCAACAAAAAAAGTTCAAAAACAAACCCCACACAAATCCGACTATTGGAAGAAACGTATTCAATAGTACCAGCAGCACTCTCACAAAGCACACATATCTGCAGGTTGTCAGCCAGAGAGTAAATATTTATTACATTCTATCTGAAGTATTTATTTTCCTAATAGCCACCTACCGTATATTTTTCATTTTTTTGGCTGGGATTCTAGATTAGCTAACTTGTGAAGTAGGAGTAATTACATTTTCGAGGAGATGACCCACAAAAGAAGCAAAATGGTAGAAACTTTCCAGGTTCTTTGAACTGTTCATATGCACAGTTAAGCGAGAGAAACTGTACAAGGCTAAAATAAGTAAGGCCAAAAGATCTATGTCCCAATCATTCGCCTTCAAATCTCAAACTTCTCAATTACAGGACACCCACATCAGATAATGCTATTGTGATGAAATGCGATGCAACATACTTGATGACAGAACTAACTTGTAATACACCCACATTAATGTAATAATGAGAAAACAGAAAGAATGTCTTTAAGGAAGGTATTCTCATATTGACTAAATATCCTACAGGCACAAGCATAAAGGACACTTTCTAAATATTGCTACTGCATTGAAGAGCTTAAGCCTTCAAAAGAATAGACACCCACTTTTGAATTATAATCAGAGACCAAAACCTAGGGAAGCACCTCTTCCCTCCTTGGAGGAAACTGCGCGTTCTTGGCAGTACTTTGATTGCATAGAACTTGGATGAAGAGAATAATGTTAATCTCCATGCACATCAAAATGCTATTTATTGTTCTGCTTTTAATTTTGTTCACCTATTCAATTTTCAGGCTTCATGGTTCTTTTACGTATACCATTTCAAGCAATTCCCTACATAGAAATGCATTAAAGAAAAAGCAAAACTCTTGCATCTTTATGGAATTCCAGTGAAAATGTATATCATTTTGCATTAGATATGAATATAGTGCTACAAAGTATTCGCATGCATGCTTTATATGGCATTTACTCTGAACTAGGCTGCTCATTCATACAAGATTCACAATTGATAAATGAAGCTTTAACATCTGAATTAGGAACGGGAGTAATTCCTCTCTCAGTGAATCAAAAGCAAAGGATTAAAAGTAAGATAGTAGATCCAATGTTTTTCTTTTTTTGTTTAAAAAATAAAACCAATTATCACATTCTGTTTTATTCATGGAAATTTCATTGGCAGCATATATCTGCATAATCATGCCACTGTGCCTAGAAAAAAATCAGCTCGCAACAAATATTTAGGTCATATTTCTGCAGAATCATGCCATTGAACTAAGGAAAGACACCAACAAGCACAACCGAGACTAATATATGAAGGAGATACATTTCAAATGAGAATTTAAAATACTTGCAGACTTTGTTCCTTCCAATAAGATCTGAAAGAAGATGTTCTAGCTCAGTAAATGTAAAGACTGACATGATGTTTTGCGTATCATGCTCGTGGTTGGCTTTAACACAGGATCACAAAAAATATGATCGCAAGAAAACCAACGTTTCATATTATTCAAGTTTTCCCTTTTCAAGCACAAATAATTAGCCAGGCACAGAGACAGAAGCTCAGTAGTACTTGAGTAATTTGCAGATTGAGATAAGTAGCTGACTGGCTGGAGCTTTATTTGAGAAAGATCGGTTCAACTTCAACAGGAGGGTATACAAGGAGAAACGGAAGTTACCTGCCTCTCATTACTCTCAAACCCCGAATAATTAGCAAAAAATATTCCTCGTAAACAACAATGTTCCCGTGCTGCGCAAACCCTTTTTCTTTTTACAAAGATACAACTGAAGGGTGATTCGGGAATTTAAACCAATGATAATTACTTTAAAACTACTTCAATTTTCCAGTTGAACTTTCACTATTGAAATAGCGAATACAATATCAAACCAATAAAACCCACACGAGCAAACAATTGTTAATGAGTTTAGCGAGTAGAGAGAGAAAATAAATTGGGTCCTCACAGAAATGATCGAGCTCCTTACCTTCAATTCAGCTCCTTGGAGCGACTGCGTAGCAGAATTGACAAGAAAACCTGTAGAATCAACAGCAGAACATCACCCACAGAAAAATTCCACCAAAACTTAGAAATGATTCAGAAACCGAATAACTCATCCACCGAGACAGAATCAAATCTCTCTCAAACAAACCTACCATCAGACCGACCGTTCTCCGATGACTGAATCGCAGAAGGCGCCGCTAGGGTTTCAGGACGAGACCCACTCGCCGCAGTTCCATTAACCGACGAAACCGCCCTCAACTCAGCCGATTGCGACTCACTGACCCGTCCTTCTCCATCTTCCAACTCAACCTCTGATTCATCCTCCGAATCTTCCATCTCTTCTTCCTCATCGTCTTCCTGCCCTCCAGTAGCCTTGGAGCTTCCGAGTTGGTCAGTTTCACAGCCTTCGCGCTCAGCCATGGCGGATTAAAACAGAGAGTAAAGTTAGGTACTGTTGTGTTACTGGTTTTATAGTGTCCGAAGCAAACCCAAAACCAAGGCCAGTACCAAAATCGAGTATCGGAGTCTGCGTCTTGGTGACATAGAAGAATAGATTAGGTGAGAGAAAGGCTTTAGAGAGAGAAACTGAGGGGCAGCCGCTTTAAAGCGGAAAATGGCATAAGTGTCTTTGACTGTAAATTGACTCAGGTGGTTTCAGTTAACGGATGCCGTCAATTTCTCCGTCACCAAACAGGGACGTCCCACCGTCGGATCGTTTCGTAGCCGTTGGCTTCTGTCAGTTAACGGTTCTCTTTCACGGCGTAGGTGGCCACATGGGCCTGCTCTTTTGACTCAAATACAGTGACCAATTCCATTTCTTAATTTTTTTATTAATTTCCTTCCGTTCCTCCTTATTCTTCTATTTTAAAATTAGGAAAAACAATTATATATATTGTTTAATTCATACTTGGTATTTAATTTAGGTAGACAAAGATTTTGTGCATTAAACTCGTAGAGGATATTTTTGCAACCATGTCTTTGATCAATTATTAATGTCTCCCAACATGTTCTTATTTCTTCTAAATTAACTTTTTTATATGCTACAATTAATTTATGTCTGCATTTTAATTTCTACTTTAATAAATAAGTAGGTAATTCTAATAGAAGCTTCCATCAAAAGTCAAATAAATACATATTAACGAATTGCCCAAGTTTTAATATATAAGAAGCAAATAATTGACCAAAAACCGCTGGCATAAAATATTCATCTTGAATTTAAATTCTCCCACTTCAATTGTGTTTATAATTATAAAAATGTTAAGTGCTTAAACCATTCAAATTAAAAATACTAATTTGAGTGAGTTAAAAGAACACTTGAAAAAAAAAACATAAAACGGAAAAAGGAAAGAAAAAACTATAGCAGTAAATTAATCTCCCATTATTTGACTAAGTCTGGGAGTCAGAGGGAAAATTTCTCTCCAAATTTCTGTGAAAAATTTTGATATTTTCGTCACCGATTTCGATCTCGCCACGCAGGAGCTTAATGATAGTTCTATAATATATTGTATTAGAGATTTTATATCATACAAACACCAAACATTGCTAGTGAAATTATTGTTTATCCTTACAATAAACTGCATTTATAGTCTTACCTCTTTTATACAAGTATAGGAGTGAAGTACAATAATGATTGTTGTCATGTACAAAAAAAAATGCCTAAAACTTATTAAGTTGGACATTATTTCCATTGAATCTAACCATGGAGTACGAAATTGAGGACATATAAGATAATTCATATGATGATAAGATTGCACTATTTAACATAAGAAATTAAGAGAGACGTGGGTTTGTTGGAGTGTAAAGATTTGTGTGGTTCAGCAGCTTGTTTTTGTGACACACATATCCAACTAAGTTGTGTTGTCTGCCTTTAGGACAATAATTATAGAGCTTGTCATATCGGTCGGGCCAACTCCTCGGACCTGTTTCTTCTCTTTTGGTTCAAGGAAACAGTGGCCACTCACTAACGATGAAATGCTCTAATGAACAGCCTTTATACAAAAGAAAAAAGGGAAAAGAGACCAGAAGACCAGATCAACTGTTTATCTTCCTGTTTTTACTACCTGTATAAGAAAAATCCGGGATCTTAGGCAAATTCAAAAGGGTTAGAATGATATACGTCATGGCTGAGAAAACGAGAGGGGGGTTACACAGACTTTTTAAGTATTGTACTATATAGAATAAGGGTGAAATATGTATCCAAATCCTTTAGCAGTGTGCAAGGATCAGAAGTTTCGTCTGACGTTTCCTGTAATATTTTCAGCACACTGCTGATAATATGGTTTTATTACATATAGACATACTTGATAGAACTACCGGACGGTTTTTGGTTTGGGGGATTCCGAGATATCTGATGTAGCCGTAGCTTTGTGTTTAGTTTTTAGGACCGATGTCCTTGAGAGCACAGATCTGCTCTTCTCCCATTGCAGACATGACAGTTAGGACGAGATCTTTTCCTTCAGCAAACCCATCTTTAAGCTATCGACATGAAAATAAATGAAAATTTATGAAGTTGCAGAAAACTACATGGTAATGACTTGAAGGTTTGTAAATATAGTGATGTCATCGTTGTATACCTGCGTCAGCAGATTATCATCGGTGGGAAGCTTCAAATCATCCTTAGTGTTTCCATTTTCAGTAAGGAGACTGACCTGCAAAATAACAAGATAATTGGTCAAGACTCCATCTTACCTTCATTTCTCTTGTTTGTTCAGTCTTTACGAACGTGTGTTTTTTTTTCCTTTTTTTCTTTGAGAGGGAGGTCTTGAACAGGGAGATTATAATAGAACTTACAAAACCATCCTCAGATATATCGATCAGCTGATAGTCAGTACGATTAACATGGGGAACCTGCAGAAGCATTGGTAATATGAGGATTGAGGACTAACAAGCAAAGTTGCATAGAACAATAAAACCACCACTTAGAAAGTAGAACACAAGAAGAGGATGACAAAGAAATTACATCACAGTTGTGAGAAGAAGGAACGATATCTTCAAGTTTCTTCCCATTGAATATGTCGATGGCCACAAAGTGACACTTTGCATGTCCATGCTTTCCAGTTTTTGAAGTGGAAACTTCAACAACCTGAAAAGGAGGTTAATGGGAATAATAAAACAGTGATATACTGCAACATGATATGCTTGGTAGGTAGCTTGAAAGCATCCCATCCCATATAAGCACAGCTTACTTCAAAAAACCTTCAAGTCAATGGACTGCCTCCATATTGAAGAGTAAAACTTCAACTACACATTATCATGGCAAATGGACTATAACGTTGGACATTGTATAATGTATATTGATATTTGACACAAAAAGGCGGCGTGCATAGCATATTTCAAAAGAGAGACATTGCGAAAAAAACTACAACATGTGGCCTATGTCCGCTCCTTACCGCCCCGCCATCTATCCGCTGCTTGTCCTACAAGAAACAGCTGGGACATTTGATGGTATTGGTATGCATGAAATTGCAGTGAGATCTCATTGAAATATTTAATGGTGTGTCCAATAACAGGACTTACGAACTCAACGAGTCCATAAACCAAGTCCATCTAATAAAACTGACTAAAGACAACATAATCATGATCTACTCTTATGACAGACCAAGGCCACATATTTCTTATTACACTTCAAACGTGGGTGAAAGAATCACTTGGCATTCAAGATAAGTAAATAATCAACCAGTAACACTCGAGTTTCACAAGCTTCCACTTACACCAAACCCACTATGTCAAATCTTGAACAACTTCTTCAAAGTTCATTTCTCCTGCAATTGTTATCATAGGTTTACCGCCTGATTTTTAGGTAACTAAATGATTCTAGTCTTTCTCGTGTAACCAAGATCAGCTTGAAAGGCTGAGCATCCAAGACAATACAGAGTTTCCATCCACAATAGTTGTGCAAAAACCATCCAAATCCATAGCAATTCTTAAAAACCTAAAAAGCACAAGATCCCACGAAGAAAATCTAAAGGGGAAAAGCTAAATATATAACCTAACAGTGACAATTACCGAAATCAGTAATCACCGAGTTAGAAGTTAGCGACATACTTCATTTAGAAATATCAGTATCGAAACAAGCGAAGAAATCGAATGTCTATCCTCTCTGAAAACAAAGGGCCAAGCAAAAATTAAAATAAAGAATCTGGACGAGAAGTTAAAGAGTAGTGAATAAAATAGCACAATCCAATCCAATCCCACTTGCATGCTTCAACAAATTAAAAAAACCCCAAGAATTTTGATCAACTTCAGAGTCGAAAGTGGAATGGGGAAAAATGAAAGAAACCTTGCAGGGCCTGTTCTTGATTACGATGTAGCCATTCTTGCGAATGGTTCCGGCTTGCTGAGGGAAAGTCTTGGACGCTCCGGCGTCGGCCTTGGAGTCGAAGTGGTGCTCCTCGTCGGACATCGCTGCTACGTCGTTTTGTTGCTCTTCGATTCACTCTGTCTCAGGCGCAGTTCTCTATGCTTGGTTTCTGAAGACGACGAAGTCGTCGCCTCGGCTATAATATTCCAGACTTTTCAGAGGCACAGGTTCCGAATTGGGAGAGATGAAATCGTGGCCGTTGGATTAGCCCCCTCACGCATTCCCATCGCCGTTTCTAACTGCTTTTTCCATGCATGGTGTTTTGTTTTGTTTTCTCTTTTTTCTTTCTTTTTTTTTTCTTGCGTAAAGAGAGAAAGATTAAAGGGAATAAATAAAGGTGGGGATTTGAAAAACGAAAGATCTTATATAAAATATTTGTACTTTTTTCTGGAATTATCTAAAATATTTGTAATTTACTAACCTCTTTTTTATCTAAAATTTTTATAATCACGTGTTTTTATTAATGAAATTGCAAACATCTACTGTAGAATTGTCTTTCCTTTAAATTTCCTAACCGAATTTTTTTTATACAATATGTGGGGTGGGGTGGCATTCAAACTCACGGTCTTTTAATAAAAAATATGTAATTTGAATCCATTGAACTGGTCTTTCCTCCTAATAGATAATCTTTAAATAATAGATTTTTTTAGAAGAACTAAATTTTAGATAACTACAAATTCATATATCAATACTATTTTTTAGTCAATTTAATTTAGATTTTTTTTTCTAAATTAATTCATATTCCTTCTTCAGTAGAAAGTAGAAGATTATAACATTTACTAATGTGCTTTAACTAAAGTATTATAGATCATTTGATTTTGATTCTCTATTTGATGAGGTGTATTATACTTTTTTACATGGCATCTTACCAAAAAAATAAAAATAAAAAATAAAGGCAATAAAGTAGAAATGAATATTTAAAATAAAAAAAAATTCATATAAGAGAATAAACGTTTATATAACAAGAACTTCTAATCATTGCGTATAACTATTGACCCAAGCTTCAGTAACATTGATTCTTTTTGTGTGTGAATCAATTCATCCTTTAAAATTCACTAAACAAAATATATATATGGAATATAGATTTTTTATTTGTCTTAATCATTTGAGTTATGCTCGTTGGACCATAAATTATTTTAAATGTGTGAATTGTATAAAGATAAAATATGATATTATTGTTTTTTCATCTAAAAATCATGTATCGTATACTAAAATATGTTTGAGAGTGATTTCGTCATGGTTAAAATAAATTTTGTGATTATCAAAATCACTTTCATTTAAAATGATAATATTTGGTAAAAAGATAAAATTAATTTTGTGAAAATATAAAATTATTTTGAGGTGATTTTTGAAATATTAGTTGCACTTCAAACCAAACCTAAATAAATTTTAGTTAAATCTCTTTTACAAAATGTAATTAAATATGATTTTTCAAATTCACTTCTACAATACAATCACTCCTACTAGTTCTATAACCTTTATTACAAATCTAGATAAAATACTCCATTTTAAATTATTGACTAATAACAATTGTAACTCTGTATTATAACCTTCCAGTGATAAAATATAATTTCGGTAAAAATATGCAACAAATCAATCATAATTGAACACAAAGTAATCATTTTATACAAAATTGAACATATGTATGGAATAAGATTATGTAAACACTTACTCGAAATCTCACTTATCAGATTCCAAAGTAAATGGTATGGAATTCAAACTCATAATGGAATAAAGAAAATAATTATTTAATAGTAGTATAATTAAATAATTTATCTATATCTATATTTATATTATATATAAAATAGGATATAGAATCAATTTTTTCTTTCTATTTTATCCTTTCAATTTAAACATTTTCATGGTTAATTTGGAGTAACTTAGTTATTTTTAATATAAATTTTCTCTCATGCACTTTCTCCCATTTCTCTCTTTTTTTTTTTCCTTTTTGCTATTAATTCCACTTTGTTTATATTATTTAATAATGTTAAATATTGAAATGTAAAGAGTTAGAATATGTATAGTATTGTCGGTTCGTTTCTATAAATTAATTTTAAAAATTATAACTTATTTTTAATTATAATTAATAAAGAATGTCAAATGTTGAAATGTAAAGAGTTATAATAGGTATAATATTGTCTATTAGTTTCTATAAATTAATTTTAAAAATTATAACTTATTTTTAATTATAATTAATAAAGAATGTCAAGAGTTTTGTAACTATTTATCTTCTACAACTATATAGAGTCTTTTTTTTTTACTCTTGGGCTCCCAACTTTTTTCTCACCGAAATTCGAGCATTCTTTATCCTTCAATATGTTTTTTTCTTTAGTAAATGTCTTTGTGTTTTTCTTATATTTTAATTAAATTGTTTGATCTAAGGTTAACTTTTAATTTTTAATTCAATGCAATGTTAATAACTGTAATTTCAAATAAGATTTGATTACCTATAATATATAAGTAATTTATTCAAAAAACTTATAAAATAGACATACTTGCATTTTGTTCCTTCTGTGTCATTCTCTTTTTTTAATGACTCAAAGTTTTAATTTCTTTTATGCATCGTTATGTTTAGGAACAAAAAATAATGAAAAATCCATGAATATGTATTTTTTTTAAGAAAAAAATCCAAGTAATAGAGGAATATGTGTTAAGTTGTTTATTTTTGCTTGTGAAAAATTTTCAAGTAAATGACACTTTTCTATTTTTTTAGTCACATTAATCGAATGAGTGAGTAATAATTTTTTTTAGTCACATTAATCTAATAAGTGAGTAACGAGAATAATTATTGAGACGTAAATTTTATATGAGATAAATATGAAAAATATAAAAAGTTTAGTGAGGTAAACGTTATTATATAAAAAAATTTAACTCTTTAATTAATTTTATGTTTTTATACTTTAAAATAAAATAATAATAAAAAAAAGATACAGAATATATTTTATTTAAGATTAGTTATAAATTTTAAATAGTCAAAATCAACGGTTCATAGCTACCCGCGCAAAGCACAGGCATACAGATTACAGAATAAGAATTTTGTTGACCATTGCAAATCGCGTAGAAAAATATCAAACGAATCCATGCATTTTTTTTTCCTTTATAAAAACCAGTCCCTTTTTCTCTTGCTTTGCAAAAAAATAACACAAAGTCAGTTACTAAAAATTCCACACTTGCAAAAGAAGATTCTTTTTTCCTTTCGGTTATTTTAAAGTGCACTTTTCACAAAAAGAAACACTTTATTTATTATTTTTTTAAAATTCTAATTTGGTCATAGATCTTTTTAGGACGGAGGATCGAACTCATAACCTCATTATTGGAGGTATATGTCAATTACCGCTGAGCTATGCTCGCTTTGACATTTGGTCATAGATCAAAATGACGAGAGAAATCAACATAAACAAAAAGAAGAAGTATAAGAACTAAAATAGTATTTCAACCTTCCTTTCTTAAAATAATTTTTTCTCGTAAAAAAAAACTAAGAACAACAAGACACAATTATAAGTGGAGTATGCTAATTTAAACATAACTCAATTGGTTAAGACATATATGTCCGACAAATAAAATTGTGAGTTCAAATTTCTATCCCCACATGTTGTATTAAAAAACAATGAAAAAAGTAACCTAAAAATAATTGGCAATGAAAGGTGGAGCTCGTGTCTTTAATCACGATCTTTAAATCGAAGATATACACATTAATTAGTTGAACTATACTTTACATACGTTAACCAGTTGAACTATACTTATGTTTCCACTAATTATCACCATGTTGATTCCTTGATTTGTCTAAATATTTTATAAAAATAACAGTACATTATCTCAAATTCAGTGGTAATTGACATATATCTCCAATTAAAATGTCATAAATTCAACCCCTCACTCCCATATTGTACTAAAAAGATATCCATCATATCCCACCTTTGTTGTACTAAAAAATATATTTAGATATCAAAGTCGATTTTATATCTAATGAATTCGTTAATTAAAAAATTGCCGAATAAACTAAGGATCTAAAGATACAAAATTGAAAAATCAATCACCTACTAGTAACTGTAATTTCTCAAAATAGTATCAGTAATTTAACATTAGAAATAAGAAGAAGAAATGTGCCGTTTTGGAGAAAGAAAGAAAAAAAAAAGGTGCCGGCCCAGCCCAGCCGAATGCCCAATTATATAAGAAGATGGAGTGGCATGCGTTAGCAGCTAGTCTCATCAGTTTGTTTAAAAACGTGAATCTCTTTGGTTTTTCTTGTGGTATTTCTCTAAACTTCCGAGCACATCGCAAGCCCATATACTCAAAATTCCATGGAGTCTAAATAATTTTTCTGGATTTAATACTTTGTGGGGTCAGTATGTTGTCCATTAGCATGGTGCCGAGAATCACACGCCTCCATCAATCCACCAAATCGATATTGTAGTGGGGTGATGCGTGAGATCCACATTTTCTCAATTGTCCTTTAACTGTTTGAAAAAATGCCAACCCGAGCCAGTGGGGTCAACAGGAGGGGTGAGATTTCGAAATAATGGCCGTGGCCGGCGCTGGCGATTCACCCATCAATTTGTGAAACAAGTTGGTGGCCAGAAACTCTATCCAATCAAGTAATGTGATGATTTTTTCTCCCCTTCCCTCGTTTTGGATTCTTTTTGATGCTGTGTTTCTTTGGTATGTGGAGAAATTTTCAATGACACTAACTAGAGGGCTGTTTTGAGATCATATTTACTTGAATCTTCTTCAAATTTTACTGTTAATAGACAGCCATAACATGAGTTTATGAAACTTCCCCAATTTGGCATTATGGTTGGAGCCTATAGGGAAAGCACATGCAAAAAGATGTCTACTACATACAGCCAAAAGTACGTAAAAATAGATTCGGACTCCAACAATGGTCCCAAGCGAGATGAATGGTTTCCTTTCCATAAAGTTCACGGCAAGTTGAAGTTCTCTCAAAGGTCCCCTCAACTACCATATTCTCCAACACAACTGCCCTGCTGAAATAATAGTTGAAAAGAATGGGTACCAGCAGCTGCATTCTCATGCTTTCATCCCCGGGTTATATCCTCAAAGACAGTCAAAGTCTCGAGGATGCAGATAAGAGAGAAAATTTAATGACCTTGCTAAAAATCGAGGACTCTTGTTATACTTTAGAGGACACATGAAAGATATGAAAAAAATGAATATGGACAAAATTTTGATGGAAATTCCCATTTTTCAGTTCCCAGGACCAAACTCATGTATTCGACATTAAATTCTGATGTTGCACAATGAACACTAGGCAAGAAGTAATACATCAACATTCAAAACATATCTTTCCATGATGACTATACTGTACACTTCCTCGTGCAGCATCAAAGGAGTCCGGAGTAACCAATGTAGGTGGTTGTGGGGGAAGATAACAGGAACTAGAACCCCAATGCTTTTCTTTTTTTATCTGTCATTTGCATGCTAAGCTGTTGGTTCGATGTCCTTGAGAAGTCCGACTATCTGCTGCATACTCGGTCGTTTTGATGGAAGGTCAGCTGTGCATAGATATGCAATCTTAAGGGCCTCCTCCATTTGATCCTCAGGTCCTGTACCTCGAATTTTCGGATCAATAGCTCTTGATCCTTGATTCTTTCTAATAAGTCCTCTTACCCAACTCACCAAGTGCGCTTCTTTTCCCTCAGGATAGTCATCTCCAATTGGCTTCTTACCAGTAACTAGCTCAAACAGGACAACACCAAAGCAATATACATCAGTTTTTGGTGTTACAGAGTCATTCTCGGGCTGTAAGAACTCTGGTGGCGTGTAACCAGGTGAACCACGGGAAATCTCTTCGCTTAAACCATTGCCAAAAACCTTTGCCAGTCCAAAATCTGATAATCTGGGCTCCAAGTTATAATCTAGGTAAACGCTACTGGCTTTAACATCTCTATGAATGATTGGAGGCGAGCACCCATGGTGAAGAAATGCGAGTGCTCGGGCAGTACCTAGTGCGATTTTGTGACGGAATCTCCAAGTTGTTAGCATACCTTCTGAACCAACATTTTCTATTCCAATATTGTCGACTTCTTCCCATGTATCCGTGCTCCAGTCCTCTGTTGTTTGAACACCAAGTGGCAAGTCATGAAGCAAATTCTGCAAGGTCCCGTTCTCCATATAATCATAGATGGCAATTCTTTGATCCCCAGCCAAGCAATATCCAGTTAACGGCACAAGATTTGGGTGTTTAATGCGACCAAGATACTCGAGTTCTCTTGCAGCTTCCTGTTCCGTCAATGTAGAACCATGGACCAAAACTTTCACAGCCACATGAATTCCGCCGGGTAGAAATCCTCTATAAACAGGACCAAACTTGCCCTCTGCCAATAGGGTTCCCCGGTCGAAATTTGAAGTTGCAGATAATAGGTCTGCAAAGGTTATATTCAACAATGGCTTCTCAAAAATTACTACCGAGACTGATGTTGCCTGCTTAACATCAGCCACCCATGTGGTTGAATCAGTCTGGAAAGAGAAGGGCCCCGAGATATTTTGCTCTTCTTTGTAAGAGGCCTGCTTTACCACCCACGTTCTGCTTTTCCTTCTGCATCCGAATGCTAGAAATATCACTGCTAGAAGTAAGCAGATCATGGAGAAAGTAACAGCCAGAGCCAGCTTCAAGACCTCGTGTTTACTGGGTTTTCTTATGAAGAGACTCGGGTTTGCAGCGATGGGGCAGCTGTTTGATGACCCAAGGAAGGCTGCATGGAGGGTTTTTAAGGAAATATTGGAATCACAAAAGGTTAAGTTATTGTAGGAGAAGTTGAATCTCTCCATCCATGGCAGTTTTTCTAAGAGCGATAGAGGGATTTCTCCACTCAAATTATTTCGCGAAACATCAAGAATTTGAAGGTTCTTGACGCTCAATGATGGGATTCTGCCCGTAAGATGATTCTGAGAGATGTCAAGAGTATTCAGATGACTCAATTGTGAGATTCCAGGAGGAATGTGATTGATGAGGCCGATTTTGGATAAATTAAGGTATTCTAAACTCGAAAGCAATTTAACATGTAGAAATTCCCCGCTGCTAAAACTATTATAAGCAAGATTAAGGTACTTGAGATTTTGGGCTCGCTCCAAAATGTTGAAAATTTCTCCACTAAGCTGATTCTCAGACAAGTCTAGATACACCAAATGAGACAAGTTGTAACTAGAATTGTACTGTACCTGAGAAATTTGACCCTGAAATTGATTTCTGCTGATGTCTAAGACCTTCAACTGCTCTTTGAACAACCCCATAACCGAACCTTGAAACAAGTTTCCAGATAAGTTAAGAGCTGCCACGGCTGTGAGGCCAGAAAAATCTGAATCATGACCATGAATCTCATTTCCTGCAAGGTTCAAGCTTTCGAGCTTGGGGAACGCAGCCCCAAAGCCATTCGGAAGTGACCCTTTCAACTGATTGTACGAAAGGTCCATGAAAACCAGAGATTGGCAGTTAAGGATTCCTGATGGGATGCTTTCTTCAAACCTGTTATGATCTAACTTCAAGACTCGGAGACTGAGTAATGAACTTATAGATTCTGGAATTTTCCCAGAGAAATTATTGATGGAAATGTCGACGCTTTCAAGCTGTCCAAAGTTGCAAATGCTGTCTCCGAGAGGGCCAGAAATCTGGTTCGACGAGAGATTGAGCCTCTTGAGTAAGCCCAAACTCCAAAAGTCTGTAGGAAATCCGGTGATTTTGTTGTTGCTAAGATCCAAACTCTGAAGTCTGCTGAGTTTTCCGACTGTGTTGTCGGGAATAGCACCGGAGAGGCCTACACCAGAAGCCACGAACTCGATAACATTTCCATTTTTGTCACAGAAAGCCCCTTTCCAGGTACAAACGGGAGCAGAAAAATTGTAGACATGGGAAGAGTTTAAGCCCACCTTCTTCAAGAACTCGGAGATAAAAAACCCATCTGTATTAGGTTGCTGACAAGCCAAAGGCTTGAAGAACAGTGCAAAAACTAAAATGGAACCGAACAAACGAAGACCCATCTGAGAAAAACTCTTGAAAGTAAGGAATATCGGAAACACACGGCCAACCCAGAATCTCAAATCCCACCCCTTTTAGGTTTTCCAAAGCACGGCCATTAGTTACTTACAGAGAATCTCTCGTAATGGTCCCGGGTCCATCTCCGGCAACTTTCCTGGATTCTGCAACTCCCATAGAATCCCCAGACTAAAAACCCCTCTAAAAAGCCACAGTCCATTTCTCAAACCTCTATAATGGCCACAAAATAAAGCAAAAACAGCGACTAATAAGCTGAATAACCCAAAAGAATGGCATATGGGTTTTCAGGATAACCAAAATTTCCTGGTTTCAAGGGCGACATCTGAGCTTACCCAGTCTGTAAGCGACGAACGTTGGGGCAACAATGAAGCTCTAGTTTATGTTTAGCATATTTGATAGATGTTTCAGCAGAGCTTCCGTGAGAGAGTGAGAAAGAGAGAGAGTGGGAGTGTAAATGAGGAAGGAGAAGAGAGGAAGCTGTAAAAGCCAAAGTTAAGAGGTTGAGGTTCATAAATGAGAAGGTGGGTGTTAATAGAAAAGGAGGGTTAGGTTGGCGAATTTATCAGAGCTTGTTGGTGGGAATTCAATGATTCTCTCAGTCTTGAATGAGTGCTGATCATCATTTGTTATTGTAGGGAAGCAACTGTTTCAAAATAAAAATCTGGGCTTTTGGACAACGGGAGAATAAAATAGAATAGGAAGAATAGCCTTAGATTCTGGTTTCACTTTCTGCGCCGGGCTTTCATATTCAATTTCTTTCTATGATACGCCCCTGCTCCAAGTATAAATATTAAAATACAAATCCACAAATTTAATATTAAAATCTTCAATTTCCTATTGTTTTTTGTTGAATTCGTATTATAGAATACATAGCCTATGATATAATCCTAAATCCAAATAATAGTGTAGCAATGATTCACCTTGATTCAAGCCTTTTTTTTTTTAATACAAATCTTCCCTTTGATTGAGGAAAAGGAAATTACCATTGTCATCTCCAAGACCCAACTACTACACCCCAAAAAACAGATCAGATCTTTCAAAATCATAGTCATATAGATCATAATTTAATAGCATTGAGTGATTGAAATGTATAAGTATGTTTATGTTATAATAATTCTGAAGTGTGGGAGGGTGGAAAGATCCATGTCAAGGATTCCCACTTGGAGGCAAAGGAATTTTAACTTTTTGGAGGCGAAGTTTGTGTTGAAAGCTATGTTACTTTCTTTGTATCATAAACATGAAAAGAGAGGACAGGCTTCGCATTCAAGTATTCTGAGGAATCATCACCCTCTTACCATGTTTTGCTACTCATCCCCAATTCAATTCTTACACTGTTCAAGCTCAATTTCCTATGCTTACTTCTATGTTTTAAGACTCATCAACTCCCAACACACACCCCTCTCGTTGCTCTAGCACGGGACAGAGTTTGAGTTAGAATTTTTTATAAGAAGGGTAAAGTTTTATATTTTAACATTTCTTGAAAAGAAAAATTAGGGAGAGTTTTAAAAGATTTTAACTTTTTAGTCTAACATGAACTAGAAAATGGGTAATTGTCTCTCCCCTTTCTTTTTAGCTTGACCCATGTCAAAGAGCTCAAGTAGATGAGTCAAGTAGATGAGTCCGTCGATTTTTTGGTAAATTTTTCTTTGAGATATTATTACCAGTTTTGATTATTTGTTTATGAAAAAGTCATTTTTTTTAAAGAAAATAGTTGGTTCTTTATTAGTAAGGATCGATCTTATCCTTACTATCATTAAATATTTGACAATAGAGCAAGAGAAGTGCAAAAACAGATACTTCTTTGAAAAAATAAAGAGTTTTCAAATATTCAATGGTGGTGAGAATAAAATTTCATTATCACTGATAAGGAACAAAATATTTTTCTTTTTTGAATTATAGATTAAGTTGTGGATGGACTTCATAAATATGAAATATATTGATTGAATTGATGGTTCTATATTCATTAAACAGTTTTTTTTTTAAGTGTTGCTTTAATTTTATAGTTCATTCCATCACTAAAATCTAGCCTTGTTGAAAAGTTTATTAGTTAGTCCATTCTAATTGAGATTAGTTGAATGGGTTGTATTGGATTAGTTAGTGAATGCATTCCTTTACAAAGGAAAACTTCCATTCTGTACATAGTCATCATCCTCCTAAAAAGATGTCTACACTCAATTTTTTTTTCCTCTTGTTTTTTTTAGGAGATAAATTCATGACATGTGAACAAAATTCAATGGATTAGCTAAGAAATTTGGTAGTGGAAGTTGTTATTTTGACCCAAAAAAAAGAAGAAAAAAAGGTGTCAAACTCCAAACACCACCTCGTTTCCCTCGAATAATTGCAGATTGTTTTTCCCACCACCCCACCCATTTTAGGGAATTTCAAACTTTTCTAGAGTGATTTTTCAAAAACAAAGTTAAATTCCTTTAGTAGTTCTTTTTAGATTCGATTGTTAGTATATTCGTATGCTTTTTTAAAAATGTTTGACATTACTATTTATTTTTAAAAATATTATTTGATGTCATGTAAAAATAATTTATAGAAAATTCTATATCATACGATAAATTTAATATGTATTTTTAAACATGTCACGTAATAAATAAGTGTGACTCTTTTTAATGTGCTTTATATTACATTTGAGTTTGATTGGTTTGAAAATACATTTCTAAATAATTTATTGGTATAAAACAAGAAAAAAAAAAGTAAAGAAATAATGTTATTCAATTTCATGTAGATGATTATGGTAATATGAAATGTTTGATTATAAGATTGGACTTTGAACCCGACAACTCTTCTTTCCCATTGCCACTTTTAAAAAGTGACATATTTTTTCTTCCTTTCTCTCTTTTTATTTTCCATCTATCAATAAAAGTAAAGTAATTTAGCATTTTCAAGTAATGTCATGTTTGTTTATTATGCTAAACAGCCAAGCATATTTTATAATTACACAACTAAATCTCAACTTTTTTTTTTTCGGGGGGATAATGCTGTGGTGATGTGGCTTTATTCAATTTTTTTTCTTTTTTTATTGATTAGTAGATGTGTAACTCGAGTTATTCAATATTATAATCCAATTTGATGAAATTAAAATATAAGAATAAAATTGGCCCGTTGAACCGACTATAAAGATAAAGCAATAAAATATATTATTTTCCTAATATGTTTATAGAAAAAATAAATGGTTTTAAAGTATTATTTATTAAAAAAAAAAACAAAATTGTCCTAAATTCACTTTACTCCTGATCAGCCAAACAAAAAAATAAACAATGATCTAATTCTAAAGTTTATAAAGTGAAAAAAAAAGAGGCATTACTTCAAATTAATAATATTATAACGTGGGTGCCATTGGTACATTATAATAAATTACTTTATTAACTTAGATAAGCTTCGATCCAAACTAAATCTAAATGGATTTTTTTTCTTTTTCTTTTTTAAAGAAGATTATGGGTCCAAATACATAATTACCAAGTGTTTGGGGAGATTTTGATTATAATTATTAAAGTTAATCAAATGATTTCATGTTGTATTGGGGCATGCAATATTAGAAAGAGGGGGGATTAATGATGGGTATTAATTGAGGAGTAAAAATAACTCAACAGACATAATGACTTTTCATAATTAGAAACATTCCTCAATCTTTAAGTTAATGGAGCCCCTCTTATCTTAACCAACAATCACTTTTCCACTTGCTTTTGACCTTATTTTTTCCCATTATCACCCCATGCATTTGTGGATACTTTTGGCTTCCTTGTATATTTATTTATCTTTTCAAATAGATATGATAATGATATTTCATTTGTTTAGTGATGTATTTTTGTTCCCTTCTCTCCTCTTCTATCTTCTATCATCAGACTATTTTTCTCTAATAGACGTATCATATCATTATTTAATTTAATATTATTAACAATATCGATTAATCAACTTTAAAAAGTTCATAAAGTACTAATAAGAATAATTTTTTAAGTCAAATAATTCAAAGATTTGAATCCTTACCCACCCCTAATAGTAAAAAAAAATAAAATAATAATAATAAATAATAATGTAGATTTCGATTACGTGGAATTACACTATTAGAGACATTAAAAAAATAAAAAATAAAAATGACTAATTAGAGTTTGATATTATTTTGACCTTTTATTCACATCTATTCAAACATATTATGTTTGAGAATATTTAATATATTATCATGTTTATATTAGACTAAGGAATAGTAATTTATTATGTAACAAATATTGAGATGAAAGAGAAAAAAATCTTGAATTATTTATTGCCGAACAACTTTTAGATTATCATAAAACTTTAATAGTATCATTGGAAATAAAAGCAATTAATGACAATGTTTTTTCACAGGAATGGTAGCTTAGCAATTTATTAGTGCTTGTACAAACAAGAACAACATCCCCACAAAGTTTAATGCAGTCTTTTTTTTGGTTGAAACAAAATATTTAAATGATAATAAAATATCCAACAGTACTTTTATATTTACCTTGAAACTCTGTACTATAGCTATCTACGTGACGAGTTTACTCGTGGGCATGATTTTGTGTCGTATTTAATATCATTAATATTGGCCGAGGGAGTTGGGTTGTCTTGGTATTTTCTCGGCTATAATCAATTTTGAAAAATATATATATAGTTTTATACGGTCAAAATAGTACTAAAAGAAAATACTGATCAAAATATGCTTTTCTTTTTCGCCCCAATTAATGTGGCATAGTACCTATTATTGGGCCCGTATTAGATTCCATAAATAAGCTGATGTATTGGTCAATTATTGGGCTAGGCCCGCCACAACCTTACCAACCCCACTCCTATATGGGCCTGTCCAAAGATCAAAATAAGCCCAAAATTGTCTTCAGACGGCCCAATTATATTTTATCTGCCCTTGATATTAAGAATATAAATATAAATAATAAATATACTTTTTAACCTACGGACTTGTTTTGAATTTAGTGATAATTTATACCGAACCATGTTCAGTTTTCTCGAGACAGTGAGACACTATCAAATCGAATACATATATTGGATGCATATATATGTGTTGCCTGCCCAAATATAACATAAGATCCAAAGCTATATTTTGAGGTCTTATCCAAAGTGCACAAATATATAGAGAGAAATACAGTGACATCCATTTTCTTCATGGGACCCATAACTTATATAATTGGACATGAACCCAAAAAAATAAAAACGAGGGCACTTCTTAGGAAGCAATATGATCTAAAAGTAAGTGTGTGAAAAAGAAAAAGAAAAATCTAAGAGGTGTTGTCAGATTTGAACTTTACTTTAGGAACATGGTGGTCCAAATTCTTTAGTTTTACTAACCTAACTCATAATCCCAATTAATTCTTCCCAACTAAATGCTTTCTATGCAATTACTCTATGTCTATAGCCTCACAAATATGACTAACACTTCCTTCCAATAGCATAGGTTTGTTTAGTGGGCCATCCTTTCCCACGTGGTCAACGTTTTCTTTTCTTTCCTTTATCGAATTGAATTTATGATTATACCAACTTTCGGAAGGACCCTTTAGAGAATTTTTTTTAGCTTCTAGGAGTCTAAGTTGTTAGGGATGAAGCCAAAAGTAAATATGCGACCCTTCTCGCCTTGAAACAATGAGGAGAGAGTGGCCAAACATGCATAAGGTAGAGCACAATTTAGCTATGATAGGGAGAAAATTATGCCGGTGGAAAATTTGTAGAAGAATTTCGTTGAGTGATAGGTATGGATGCCGCAATCATAGTCCAATACTTCTCAATAAAAAGTGAAGTTCCGCGCCTTCACAAAGGTATGCGATCTCTACACACTATATTAACTTGGACTCGACACTAGTTCAAACTAAATATTAACTTAAATTTCAGAGTGTACTTAGGTCGTTAGCCTAGTAGATTTAAAGTTCACCTAACCTCTCATGTTGAATATTGGATCAACATAAATGTTGGCTTTTCTGCTTGATAATGGTGAGTTTTTAATTTGTCGTGAATCTTTTCGTTGTTGGTCATGTTGATTTATTTATTATTTTTAATGTATTATCTTATGACTTTAATAGTATTTGAGATGAATTAGATGAAGAATATATGTTTTAAGACTGTCAATTTAATTGAGATAATCAAATACATCTACTTATTTCTGCCCCCAATAATTTATATAAAAAGTTAATTAAAATTTTGAATTCCTCCCTTCCACTTAATGAAGCCCTTAATAACTTTTAAATGGATTTTGACACAAAAATAGAGCAGAAAGTAGAAATCACAAGTGGAAAATTTCTTTTTGTTAAGGTGAATTAGTTGCCTTCATATCCATAAATTGAAAAGGCTACAAATAGTCTGTTTTTGTTATTTTCTAAGGCAAGTGGGAAGAATTATTTGAAAAGAAACGAGCATATATATATATATACTTATATTTATTAGTCAATTGATGTGTGCCAATGGGGCCTTGAACAACTAAAAAGAAGATTATAATTATTTATAGGAAAAGAAAAGGGTAAGAGTGAAGTTTGAAGAAGTCATCTTTTTAATCACTTTGAGATTTTTTATTTTCTTGAAAAATAATCGCTTTGAGTTTAAGAAAACTTGAAATGAAGTCACTGTTCCATAGTCTCAAGCAATGGCTGATTCGTAAATAATGTTAAGAATGCTTTGAGTACTATCACTAACCCCTTGTCATTCCAACCAACCTCAATCATACAAATTATAAAGCTATTGATTTATGTATTAGGGTTTGTGAGTGTCTTTATGCATATTGATTATTTTCGAGAAATTTCGTAGAGTATTAAATTATAGATAGATGGACTGTTAGAGATATATATAGAGAAATTAAGGAAACACAAAAACAATTAATCTGAACCCAACAGTTCTCCATACGGTGTATAAGTGAAGATAGGAGATTCGAACTCATGACCTCTTGGTCAAATACACGTGCCAACTCATGTCAGCAACAAATGATAATTAATAGAGTTTTAATTAACGAGAGAATACATTTTATATATATGGCAAAGAATAGTGATATTAAAAACATTTTTTGTGGCGGGCAAGAGGAGTTTACAATAATCTCCCGCTATTTATGATATCCTAATCTTCGGTTCTTATCTTATCTCAAGTTATTATTTGTAAAAGGAAGCCATATATTGCGCTTTTGATTTTCTTTATTTAAAATTATATGTTATATAATGTCTAGTATTTACTTTTAATCTCTACATTAGGTGATGAACTGAACCTCTTGATGGAAGTATGCTCGCTCGTCCTGTCCTTCGAATCGCTTTCCTTCGTCCATGTCGCTCGAATTTGTAACAAACCTGCCCATTTTTTAACCAAAATGGGGGTTTCAGCAACGTCTTTTTGATCTTCTAATTACCCTCAAGGGCTTTGGAATGTATAATGGGAGATTTCCCTTCAATTATTGCCGAAGAGACCTAATTTAATTTAACTATTACTTTCAAAAAAAATAAAAAATCTAGCATTTACAATATCACTCTATTAGATAATTCAACCAAAATATGCATGAAACAAAATGATAGGCAAATTTAAAGTTATCGGCCGGCCTTATCTCTCAATTAAAGCATGAAAACTAGTAAAAAAGTGCACAATTGCCTTCTTTTTATCCGATTTTATGATTCTTTTTTACCCAAATAAAGTTTAAATTCATTTTCAGAATATACTTCAAGTTTATAGCATTACATTATGAAATTGAAGTCCAACCCAAACTTCTTTATTAAATACGAAATCAAAAGTTCATTAATTGATATATATTCAGATAAAGAGACTGTGAGTTCGATTCTCCACCCCACATTATACTAACAACTCTCTTTAAAATTGTAAGTTCAAATTCTCCTATCTTATAAAATAATCTTCTATTTCCTAATTATTATCTCAAATATTGTCAAAATCTCAAAAAAAAAAAAAAAATTCATTGAATGGCAGCAATATTCTAAAAAAATGAATATAAAATAATCTTTAATCCCCCCTAATTATTATCTCACATATTATAAGAATCTAAAAAAAAATCATAATTTTGGTGTTTTTCTTTGAAAGTAATTTCAATTATTTTATGTTTTTATATATATACTTTCAATAATGGTTGTAATAAAACTAATGTAGCCATTCAATAAATAAATGCACGTATTTATTTTAGGGGGAAAACTGGATATTTTATTAGACAATTTAGTATTCGGAAAAAAAAAAACGATGTGAATATAAAATTGAGTAAAAAGAATATTAAAAATTAAAAATGTTCTGTGGGCTTATCGATGTTTTTCTTTAGCGTAACGGGAGGTCTTCACTTCACTTCACTTCACATAAATAACTAAAATATTTATTTTAAAAAAAAAAACTGAAAAAGACTTATTTTCTGGCCCTGGCGCGTGAAGCAATGATTTAGTTATTAATGACGTGGCATCCATACATCAAGTTTCCTAATATATGGAAAAGGTCATGTATTTAAAAAATTAATTTTAAGTAATATTATCTTTTTAACGTAACCAAATTTAAATAAGACTGATTTAGAGTTTGAGGTTGAGTACACTATTTTTGTTAGTACAGCATGTGCGATGAAATTCGAACTTACGACCTTTTAATGGAAGATTTGGTGCTTTAATCAATTAATTAGGTTGGTGCAGCACTACCTAATATATGATATACATGCAAACTATGTCAATTCTTTAGGTACATATTTCTATTTTAAAAAATTCATATCCATTTTAGCACAATTTAGTAGATAAGATACTATTTTTTGTATCATTGACGATGAATTTAAACCTATATCGACTGATTATGACATATATTCCCAACTAAAATGTTGGAGATTCAAATCCCTACTCGTACATGTCTCTGAAGNTCGACCACCCACCCTACCATCACTAAGCTTAGAAAAAAGAATCAGTTATGAAAATTTCATTAAAGCTTTTATCATGTTCAAAAATATTGTTCTAAATATAAAAATCTTATATAAAATTTTCAACTAGTCAGAAATTAAATTTTTTTTTTAGCACAGAAGTTATTAAATTTTGATAAGATTGTTCAAGTTTTACAAAACATTAACCAAGTAACTTTTTTCTCAAAATAAATAATAATAATAATAATAATAGAGTTTAACTTTGAACCATTCTCAATGTTACAAAATTAAGAAATAGGGGAGTTTCTGACTTTTCTTTGTACAAACACAAAACAATAAATGTTGAAGAAAAAGAATACAATAAAACAGATTATAATAATTAATACTATTAAAGAGGATGAAAGATATGGAAAATGCCCAATTTTCAAACTCTTAAAGGTGTTACTATTGCGCTTTATTTAAAGTTTTTTTTTCTTTTAATATTTTTTTTTTCATTTGAAAAGTGATTTATTTTAAAGTTATCACTAATTTGCTTCAAGTTTAATGCCTATCCATTTAGGTACAAAAGAATTGGTTTACACATCATAATCACCATCTTAAGATTGATAGAAGTTTTAAACTATAAGATGTATGATTGAATGCAAAATTGGTGAAAGAAAAATCTCATTTTCTAAACTCTGAATTACAAAGTTGTTGAAATAAATCTTATCACTTAAGCAACTAATCAAAGCATAAATCATTCATTTGATTTGAAGAACAAATCGATTTAAATATTTTTTTTTTCTAATTTATCAATTATTGAAATTCTATTGCACTATTTGCACGTTCCCCTTTATATGACATCTCTTATTTTGCATTTTCAATTATTATTATCATCAATATTTTATTCCTCACAACATTCTAATGTATAGTTTGAGATTTTAAAATATAGTTTGCATAGATATTTTTTTCCTGTCAAAGAGTCGTGTGTTTTTTAAGTACAATATATGGGGTAGGGATCGAACTCACAATTACCATTGAACTATGCTTGCTTTTGCGTCAAAGAGTCGTTTGGTTCCACCTCTTCATTTTCACAAATAAAAAGTTAAAAAACTTAAATGAATTGATTTACTTTTCACTATATTTTCATTTGACATAGTAATGAATGCTAGTCTGGTAGAATTCTAATTAAATATTTTCACACTATTAAAGGGTTGAGGGTTACTCTAGAATTATATATTCTTTTAATTTTCTGTCTAATAAATCTGTGAAATTTTAAAAAAAATCAAATGGATCAAAAACTTATAAAACACCGAAGTGGAAGTTCGAAAATTTATTAATTATAAAATTAAAAGTAAAAAAATCTACCGATACTTTAAAAAGTTCAGTACCTATCATTAGATTTAACTGAAAATACAAAAATATACGGGTCACTTTTAAAATTTAGGGGCTAAAATTGTAATGGATCCTAATAAGTAGAAGGATAATTATTGGGTGGGGTGAAGTGTAATTAGACAAAATTTCCGGTCTTCCTTTTAAATTAATGCAAATGAAGGGCAGTGAAATAAAATACACCCAGAGCCAGACGACAAGGTTCCTTGGGGGTGCGAGAGAGGGCTGATTTTATTAATTGCGAGAAATTACTGAGTTGCGTCAATTTTGTTCTCGTGCGCCGAGCCCACGGTGGGATCGGGGAAGCCCTCCATGATCATCATGATGAGATTCATCAGACAGTGCAGAATTAAAGATGCATCAGATTTCAGGCGGAGCCCGCTATGCCAATGATTTTTGTCGTTGATTTTTCTCTTTCAAGTTCGGCTATGTCCAAACTCCGGACCAGACCCCTATGAAGCAGAGAGTCAACTTTTTGAAATCCAACCGCTCCAAACTCTTTAATTCCTCTGCACCAAATCCCATAAATTTTAAAACCCAGATCATAATTTTGTTCAGGAAAGAGAGAAAAAAAAAGTATCTGCAGACGATCAATTTCATCCATTCTTTGCCTTTCCTCTGTTTTCAGCTCGAGAGTCGTGTAATTTCTCCTTCTATTTCCCTCTAATTGGCTATTTGAATTTGTTTCTTATTCTCTTATCCTGGTTTTGAGGTTTGTTGTTTCTGTTGATTCTGTTTCTGGTCATATTTGGTTATCTCTTCTGGTTCGTCTATCTTGTAATTTAAGCTCTCTTCCATCGTTGGTTTTCTCCAGCTTCGCGGGAGAGATTAATCTTTAATCCCCTGTTTTACCTCGTGAATTTGATTTTGTCTCCGAGGAAGAATCTAATTCGTTTCTGATTGAAAAACCCCATCTGGGTTTCTCCATTTCGAGGGAATTAAATCATGGGAATTCAGAAAGATAGGGTGAGATTCAATGTTGGGGGTAGAATGTTCGAAACGACCGCCACAACTCTCGCGAATGCCGGCCGGAATTCCATGTTTGGGGCACTCTTCGACGAGAATTGGGATTTACAATCCGATAATTCCGACGAATTCTTCATTGATCGGAACCCTGATTGCTTCGGCGTCCTCCTTGATCTCTTGCGCACCGGCGAGCTCTACGTGCCGGCAAATATGCCGGAGAAACTTCTCTATCGGGAGGCCCTCTTCTACGGCCTGCAGGACCACTTCCGCTCCGCCAAATGGGGCCAATTCGACGGCAATAGATTGAAGCTTTCGCATTCTGTGACCGGCCAGGCCCCGGGAGACGGGACCGCCATCCGAGCCGGTCCCGACGGCGGCTGCTGCGTCGCTCATGGCTGTATGGTTCATGTCTACGATTGGATGCTCGACGGACACCGGCCGGTCAACCTCGATTACCAGAGAGTCAACGACGTGGGCTGGATCGACGCCGAGAGCATCATGATCAGCGTGTGCGAGAGACTAGGCCGCGGCGACGGCGGAATGGGTCTGTTCAGCAAGTCAACCGGCGAGCTCCGGCATAAGTTTCAAGTCAGCCACGAGAATCAGGTAAAGAGCTGCACGGCCGGAGCTCTGAGTTTCAGCTCAGATTATAAGATCTTCTCAAGTTGTAAAGGCAGAAGCAATGAGTATGGAATTGGCGTTTGGGACCAAATTACAGGGAAACAGACAGATTTTTTCTATGAACCAGCAGGTTGGTCTCTTGGAGATGCTGACAAGCTCCAATGGCTGAATGGAACCAATTGCTTGTTGGTTGCAACCCTGTTTCCTAGGAAGGACAACTGCTACATTAGCCTGTTGGATTTCAGGAACAAGAAAATGGTCTGGTCTTGGTCTGACATTGGAGCTCCATTGACTGTAGATGAGAAGAGAGTGAGAGATGCCATAGCCATGGAGGAGAACAGCTCAATCTGTGTGGTGAATCAATATGAAGATTTGGGGTTTTTGGATTTGAGAAGCAGCAGTGGGGGGAGTATCAGGTGGAGCTCAAGAAGTAGGCTAATGAAGGGGAGGATGCCAGAAGAGCCTTGTTACCCCAAATTAGCATTACATGAGGGGCAGCTCTTTTCATCCATGAATGATTCCATATCAGTCTTGTGTGGACCTGACTGGGTTTTGACGTCCAGGCTCCGCCGAAGCTTCGGCGGTTCAATCTGCGATTTCTCCATTGGCGGGGATCGCCTTTTCGCACTTCACAGTGAGGAAAATGTCTTCGACATATGGGAGACACCACCTGCTCCCGTAGTATCATAGATTTGTAAGATACAGGGTAGTCGAAGAAATATGAAGAGATGTATATAGCAGGGCCTCTCGGTTCGACGGAAACCAGAGACGTTGGTTAAGAAAGCTAAGCAGGACGAACAAAACGAAAGGGAGAGAGTCAAAATTTAGTTGCCATTGCCATTATTTAGAGGAAATTTTAGAGCAGAGTTTGTATGGGTTCACCCATTATTACAGTAATAGATAATCTCAATATTTCTTTCATCTCCATCTTCCCCAGTTGAATCACATTGTTATTTTTTTCCCTTCTGAAAACAGACCAAACTTCAAATCTTTTGTCAAAACTTTCTAGTAATAAAGCAGAAACAATGTCATTCGAATCAATAATATTGCTCTATACATACATAAGAGAGAATATATGTAATGACAGATCCTTATTAAAAAAATAAAAACAACAGATAGTTCTGAAAAACTTTTGTTAAATAAATATCATCTGACAAGCTCTCACTGAGATATGAACCAACCATGGATCTGGTGGTGAACAAGATTCCATATTTGCAGAGGACAGACAGAGAGATCCTTGTTGTCATGTGAACAGTTTCAACTGCTCTAATATAAAATCACGTCCCTATTGGCATAAAGTTGTATATATATAACATTTCTCTGTTTCAAAAATCACATGGTCTCTCTTTTTTGGTTCACCAAATCATTACTTTCTGTACTGCAACTCTTTCAGTTTGCCAAGGCATTACATGAACTTTGGAGGTAGCAAAACAAGCTTTCAAATCAAAATAATACCCTTAAAACTAATGATTTTGTTTTTTTTAACTTTCTAAGTTCCTACTAATGGTTGCTGCAGAACAAAAAATAATGATAATAGTTAGTGTTGTATTGGTCTTCTGTCAGCAGGTGTGTTTGGAAACTAGAATGTTTCCGAACTTTTTGTAAAGTGGCAACAGAAAGCACTAAAGTGTCTGTCTTTTCTCTTTAGGTAACAACTATGTAAAGAAAAGGTTACAGAACATTACTACTGGGCAAAGGAATAGTTTCGTCGTAAAAAAAGGGAGAGCGACGAACTGGAAAGTACAGCAGAGAGAAATTCATCAACTCGATATAGGACACCAAGTTCCTTCCATTCATTCCTCAAAATTTGTGGAGAAAAGAATTGCACCGAGATAGAAAGAAGCGAAAGTGTCTATGTTCCTGAAGGTTGGTAAGATATAATAAAATCAAGCAATATCAGGCATAACTTTCCTGAGGAATGTAATGGGATAAGAATCTTCTGGGTTGAGTCGGTCAAAAGCGACGTAGTTTTCCTCTTTACTGTAGACATGGCACATCGTCATGATCGTCTTCATTAATCGCCAATTCCATGAAGCCTCGTTCAGATACTATAGAAGGAGTTGGAGGGAAAACAAATATGAAACGAAAGAATTAGACTGTTAGCATCAATGGGAGGAGAATAGATGCAATGCAAGGCAGCATTAACCTTTCAAGAACTGAAATCCAAAATGTGTCTAAAAGAAAAACGCAGACATGCATTCGGTTCAGGCCATTACCTTTCCCCAGTTCTCTTGAAGAGACTTGTGGGCTGCACGTAAGTTGTAACTTGGGATTCTTGGAGAAATGTGGTGGGGGATGTGCACATTGATGTCGTGGCATAGAATCTCGATCCTACATGGGAAGAGATTATATTCGCGGTTAACTGGCTGATGGTAAAGGAAACTCATGAACAGTGCAAGAATCTCTTTTTAACATGGCTTCATAAAACATTCTAAGAAACTAATCTACAGAAAACACACCTAAACAGCACCTTAACTGCTTAGTACTTGCCCAACAATGAGAGAATTTTTAGATTAGCAATATTAAATTAAGAAACAAATGAGTAAAGTACTGAGGAAGAGAACAGAGAAAAAGAAAAACTAAAATAGATGATCTATACCACTGAGGGTAAGCACAATGAACCGTTCCATTGAGCTGTGCTTGGGCTGCATTCCACTCTTCTGAAGATTTAAATGGTATATGAGGAGCTGTGTGATGGACCATGGTGAAAGTGCTCATCTAAGCAAGAAATAAAAGGTAATTCTTAGATACAAAACCATAAGTAGGCAAACGCCAAACAATAACCAAAAGATAGATGTAGATCGTCCCATCCACAAACAACAATCTTCCTTAGTGAGACTTTTAGTGAAAAGAATATATATATATGGGCTAGTTTCACAATCATGCAGTTTTTAACAAGAATGACAAAACAACAGTCACCCACCATGAATGAATAATAGCAGCATAAACATCAGATCATCATTTCATCATCTTGGAAGCATGGTATTAATCATTTTTTATTTGTATCAGTAATATTCATACAACTCGCAAGATATAAGCTTCACTAAGATTTATGTTTCAACAATGTCAAAAGATACTCAGATACGGTGGTCTAAGTTACGCAGTTCATTCTTGTTAGTGTCTATGGCATCAATCATCATATAATCCTCTTATCTAATTTTGAGCTAGTTTGTTAATTTAATGTTCCACCATGGAGATCCATGACAAGTCACCATTCAGTGCAGATCATCAGTTAAATTGAACATAGGGAAAATATAATATCAAGAGGCAAGCAGATGATGTTACCCAAAAGTGGTAGCCCAGCCATGGCATTAACCAGAACTTGACCCATCCGAGAATCCCAGCCTTGTAGATGATCAATGGCCATCCAATAAACATAAATGCAAAAACGCAAGCTAGGCTTATCTTCACTCTTTTCACTTCATTTGGTCTGAATATTTTCAAATTGAAGTGCCACAACAACCTATTATGCAGAACAAATTGTTGCATATTAGTGAAAGAGAGCGAGAGCAAGCGGTCAATTCACATACAGGATATCTTGATATGAAGTCAGGTTATTCTTGCAATCCTTGACAAATGATAATCCCCAAGGAACCATCCAAGGTACCTTACCAATGAGCTATAGACATCCACGGTCGAAATGGACCATATCCATATATGATTGCTTTACGCATAAGAGGTACTGAATCAAATTCCTCTTTCCACACAGGATGCCAAGCCGTATCTTCTTTCAGCCTATATATTGAGATAGGAATATAAATGGAACTTCAGCTTATAAAAGAAGAAAGGCAGAAATCTTTAAGATGTAGGTAACCGGCCAAAATTATAAAAATAACCTAAAACTTTGATGCCTACGTTGAAAATAAAAGCCATCCTGATATTGATTTCTATGTATCATAGTCATACATTTAGTTTTTTAAGCTTAATTAACGCATAAGATATTTGACTCTAAGCAAAATGCAAAACATATAGAGAAATTCTATTAACTTGATTCAAAGATACTAGGAAGAATTACTGCACGCCCAGCAGTGTCCAGCAAATAAGATGCCATGTGTGTAGACCTAGCAGTGTCAAGCTACGGATTATGGTACATTAAAATCCATTCATGTTGTTCTGCTCAACAAGACACTTGTTCATACTATACCTTGAAATAACATTTAACTATGCTTATGCAGGAAGATAGTGCTAAAATAAGTATTTTGAAGAGAGAGAGAGAAAAAAAGAAAAGGAGAGATTTTCTACATGTTTGTCTTCGCATGATGTTGATCGTGCTTAAACCGCCAAGGTTCGTATGGGTATATTAAAGGTAGGAAAGCCAAAGTACCCACGATGTCTTCCACTAACTTGTTCTTTGAAAATGATTTGTGAGCACAATCATGACCTATAACAAAGAACTTGAGGGGAAAAGAAAGAAAAAATAACTTCAGGGAGCTACGTTACAAACTCCAACAAGAATGGGAGGGAGATAGAGAAGCAAATAGAAATAAAATTGAATAAGACTAACCCCTGTTATTGCAGTCCCAGTCCATGCCCAAGCCAAAGGTAGTAAATACCATGGAGCTTTTGCAATCATGATAAGACCTAATGTATAGGAAGCTACAGATACTAAAACAGATTTCCATGCTTTCACATCATTGATCTCGAACACCTTAAAAGTCAAAAAGAATAAGATAAAATGAGCAAAAATGGCACTACCTTTTTTAGTCGCATCTTCTCACGAGAAGACTTCGAGGATATGAAGAATTTAAATGCTTGAAGTTTTTGCTCGACTAGTGAGCAACGGAAAAATGGGGAAGAGAGAAAGCATTGTCCACTCACAACCTCCCTCACCCAAAGGCTGGAAGGCTATGTAAGCAACTATAAACATGAACTAGAACATCATCAACATTTTATTTGACCCAATTAAAAAAAAAAACATGAACTGTCTCGGGATGAATGCCAACACTATAATGTTGCGGCAAATGAAGTACCTCTTTTGGAAGGGACTCAACAATATCTTTCAACCTAACATTTTCAGGAAGAGGTTCTCCAATTTTCTCGAATCCATAGCTTTCTGATAATTGTTTTCTATATTCAGAACTATCTGCTGAAGTAGGTGGTGCAACTGGAACAGCAACAGCCCGTAAAATTGCAGCCCTCTTCACGGGAAGTAGATAGTTTCGTCGCTTGATTTTCTTCTGGAATATTATTTCCCCCTTCACGTGCAATATACCTGTCTTGCAAAAGTCATGTTTGAATTGAAGCATCTAAATTGAAAATGGAAAACCTAAGTTGTTATGCTCAAAGAGACAGCAGGGCAAAAAAGAAGTTAAAGAATACAATGCAAAACTTAGAACAAACCAAAATGAGGATAATGTAAGCAATGCAAAATCCAAGCTAGTTCGGTCGGTTCCTCGTCAGTTAATTCATTATTTTGTATATAAAGTTCATGCTTGAGATGATTTGTAGGAAAGTAAATGGAATTCAATCTCCAATGCATGAACTCTCACACAGTGAATGCCAACACTTCAACTTCACATAATTCAATGGCTTAGAACTCAAAAGGAAGATACTCAAACATACCCGGAGAATAATGGGATGCAGTTTTTTGTGTTCGAGCTGAATTCTGATGGGGGCCCTGATAATCAAACTAAAACAATAAGAAACAGAAGCAGAAGCACCAAAAAGGGCGAAATAAGAACTAGATGGCGGGAAACGTACAGTGAAAAGAAACATGGAATCCGCAAGTCTGCAAGCCATTATGAGCAGAATTGCAGAAATTCCAGTCAAGAAGGCCCCCTCAGCTTTCAGGGGTTGCTTGAAATTGAACGAGATGCAGTGGGCGGTGAAAGAGGGGAATTCTTAATGGGTGTTCTTAAGTACACGAAGCTGCGGCTTGGACTGCGAAATTGCGTATAAATCCTTCCCCCATCCTTCTCTAAGTTGTGGATAGAAGTGAAAGGGGGTGACCCTTTCGAAGCATCCGCCACTAGTTTGCAAATCGGCGTTGCTATCATTTATCAATAAATTTCTTCCTTTTTTTTTTCTTTTTTTCCCCACTAGAAATTGAAGAAGTGGCGCCGAAGAACAAAAGTCTGCAGTCCTCGTTCAAGTCGTCCACGAGGAAAAGATGGATTATATTTGTATTGCTTTTCATTGAACTAAATCTCTAAATAATTTTTTTAGCAAATAAAATAAGTGATGTCTTATTCATCGTTTTTTTTCCCTTTTCTTTTGGAAAGGCTTCTTTTTTTCCTTGAAATGATCGTCTTATTCATTTAATTATATTGGTAATACGTGATAAGTTAGTATGCATTTAATGTTCTCTTATTATAACTTACTTAATTGGTTAAAAATATTGTGTAAACAAAAAATAATTTTTTGAATCCTTATCTTATATTTAATTGAAATTAAAAAAATTATATAAATATTGTTCAAAAAATAAAGTCCAGTAATAAAATGTAATCCTTTTACGTGCAGAATTCGATCTTATAAATCTTATAGAAAAAGTGAGTTTTATTGTCATATAAATAAATAGAAATATTAATTTATAAATAAATAGCCAAGAGTTTAACGATTAAAGTGTTTATTTATTTTCTTATTTCTATTCTTCATGTTGTTGATAAAGCATAAATTCTTATAAGATTTAAAAGTATAAAGTATAATACTTTATTGTTTAGTGGAGAAGAATATAACTTAGAGGGATGCAAAGAAAAATATAATAGATAATTTTTTAGGGCACCATTCTGGTTTTTTTTTTTTTACTTTTGATTTTTNATTAGGGTAATCAATTCAATTTTATGTTTTTTTTTAAATTCTACGGTAAATTTCAAAAATAAAAGAAAAGTAATTTTGAAAAATTTTTATTTTTCAAAATCGGATTTTTTTCTTTTAATACTCAATTTTTTTTCTTTCTCATATTTATCTTTAAAAAATTTATTTTTTATTCTCTTTTTTTTTTATTTCTAAAATCTCTCTACAAACTTTATTTTTCTGTCTAAAATTTTCATATTTTGAATATTTATTGTTATCTGTCTTTCTCCAAATTTTTCTATATTTTTCTTCTTTTTTTCCTAATAGACGGGTTTCATTTATCTCTCTAAAAATTTAATATTTTTCCTAATTTTTTCCTCTCTAAAATTTCATATTTTATAACTTTTCTTTCTCTTTGTTACTTTTCATCTTAAAATTATATTTTATTTTTTGGTTTAATTTTCTTTCACTAACTTAGAAAGATCTTTGTATTTATTTATTTTCTCTAAAAATTATATTTTGAATCTTATTTTTATCTCTAAATTTGTTTCCACTCTAATTTTTCTCTTTCTTTATAATTTCTTTTTTTTTTCTTTAACATATCTTTTCTCTCGACTTTAATTTTTTTCTCTAAAAATTTTATCTTTTTGTCTTTAACTTTTATTTCACTCATTTTTTTCTAAATATTTTTCTTTATTTCTCTAAAATTTATCTTTCAAAAGTTTATTTACATCTCCCTAAACTAGTATTTTCATGTCTCTACACAAATTTCCGCAGGGTTGGGTCCCAAAAATAGGAAATGCATGTTCTGACCTCGTCCACATCCCCCATTACATTTTTTAAATAATTAATGTATATTTATTACACTTTTTTATATTTAAATTCTAAAAATAATTAAAAACAATTATAAAACCAATAATTTTTCTCGAAAACATCTCTCGGACCCAATAACGAGGTGGAGACGAAGACTACAAATTTTCACGAGCACGATAATGGGAGAGAGCATCCTCACTCGCACCCACACCGTTGTCATATCTACTCTATATAAAAAATGTTCTCTCTAATATGTATTTTCAATTTTCTAACTTTTTAAAAACAAAAAACTAAAAATAGTTACCAAATATGTTTTAGTTTTTTGTTTTTTAAAATAAAAAATAAAAATTATTATCCAACATATATGATTTTTATTTTTTAAAAACAGAAAACCAAAAACTAAAAACAAAGAAAAAGTAAAAACAAAAAATTAAAATGGTTGTCAAAGGAAACTTTAGTTTTTTCTTTGTTTAAAAAAAAGAAAAAGAAAGGGCTGTCCAAATTTATTTTGTTATAACTTGAATATGAATAAACATAGGTCGGTTATATATTATGGCCGGTGTTTCGTTTTGGCATGGAAGTCGGCAATGGCGCTCTACATAAGAATCGCATGTCAATGGTGGGCCCACTCGTGTAATAATATATTTTTACATTATAGATTTTTATAACATAACAAATAAATACTGTTACAACACTTTTCAAAGTACTCGTAAATGTTCGTAATTTAGCCTATAAAATCTACGAAATGATTTTATTCCAGTTCCTCTTAAAACTTCACGAATTAAATAACTTACTAAATATCCTAACTTATGGCGTTTGTACCAACAAAAGCATTTTCTGTCAAAAGAAAAAAAAACGAAGCATTTTCTTTTTAAGAATAGACATTATAATTAAATATTTAAGGAGAAATGCGAGGGATGAGAACCAAATTTATAACAAGGATAGTTGTAAATATGACAAAAAAAAATAGTAAAATTAGCCAAATAGTAACTATATTTAGTTTTTTTTTCAAATATAGCAATTTAAAAAAAATGGAGGTCCAATTTTAAAATAATAATATATATCTGTAATATATTTGATTACTGATATATGTATGTGATATACTTATGATATACTAGCAATATGTATGTGATATACATTTGATATGCTACTAATATGAGTGTATGTACAATATGTATGTAATATACATCTAATATATTACTGATATGATATTAGTATCTGTTGATGCAAAGATTTGGCTTCCCTAGATTTCGCTAAATGTGCACCAATTCTCTAAATACAAAAAGGGATCGATGGATCAACGTGACCTGCAAAACAGATTGAAACTAGGATTGGTGTGGTTTACCACACGGGCTCCGATGCTTAAGTTAGTATCAAAAGTCGAGTGCAGAAAATAGGAAGTTCAGGCGTACCTTTTGGGGTTTGGTTCATCTCTTACTTATAGTCGTCCAATCTCGATCCCCTCCAGATTTGCCCTAGCCGAATCTTAAATCTCCAGGCTCGTTACTTCGTTGTCGGTTTTAGGTCGGATTGAGGATCAATGCGAGTTAATACAACTGTAACTGCACAATGGTCGGATGGACCGGGGGCCGTGAATGTCTCAGCGCCAAGGCCTGGTCGGTCGGGGGTCAGCTCGGGTCGCCGAATGCCAGCCCCCTTTTCCTGGCTCGTGCTTTCTTCTTGGGTTCCTTTCGGCCTCCCGTCGCTTGGTCTCTTCTTATCTTCCCATAACAGTATCTGATATACTACTTATATATTATTGATATGAATATATGATATACTACTTATATAATTGAAAATTTTTACAAAATTTTAAAAATATGTGACATATTTTGAAATACGTAAAATTTTTTTTTCTATCCACCATAATTTTTCTTTATAATATTTGTAAAAATAATACGATTAATATAATTTTGGAAAAGTCTAGTATGACCGACATCTATTGGTATCTATCACTAATATAGTCTTTAATTTTTTTTTTATTGTCGATTAGTGATAAACTATAATAAATTTTGGAAAAGTCTGGTATTACCGACATCTATTGGTATTTATCACTAATATAGTCTTTCATTTTTATTATTGTCGTTTAGTGATAAACTATAATATTGATATCAGATAGTGATATATATGAAGTATAAGTATTGAGATTGGGTTCATTACAATGCTATATTTACATGCTTGAAAACAATTTTTTTTTAGTACACAATGTTTGAAAACTTTAGTTAGTTTTATTATTAATTTGGACTATATTGTACCAAAAGTATTTTAAAGGCACCTGACCTTTCTCTGTAGAAAATAATAAAAAGTACTCTGTAAATTTCATTATAACAGTTACTGAAAAAGAAAGAATTAATTGATGAATTCTTTACCTTCACTCATAATTATTTGATGCGGCCAACCGAAGCAGAAGAAATATATCACATTTATTTCATACGAAAGCCGGTACGAAAGGGAAATTTATTAATACGACGGTGAAAAAAAAAATAATACGAATTATACATGGCGGTCAACGGTGGCGTCCACGTCATCCATCTTGGAGCTATCAGCTATGGCAGAAGTACGGGAAAACTGAAACTACTAACAAACGCAGGAAAACGAAGCTTGTTTTACAAAACAAAAACCAAAGCCATTTTGGTTTTGTAAAATTTCTGTATATTGACGCAGAAACGGAGGGAAGGGGAAAACTCCAGCTCAAACGTCTGAGCTTCTGCGAGAAAGGAACTGATAAAACGAAATCAATCGTCGGCAATCTTGATTTTGTGTGTGTGAATTTCGAGCTCCAATTGGAAGGATTACTTGACCGGTGACATGGCGTTGTTGCGGAAATTGTTCTTCCGGAAGCCACCGGATGGGCTTCTCGAGATCTGTGAAAGAGTTTACGGTACTGTATTTTTCTGTCTTCTCTCCTTTTTTGTGTTGATTAAATTCATCTTGTCTTCTATTACGGCCCTACTAGCGCGGATGTTCTCAGTCTCGATTGTCTCGATGACAAAGATGGATTCTATGGTGTATCAGCTTATTGTTTGCTTATTTTATGGTGTGAATTCGGTATCAGTACAAATGGAGAACGACATGGAAATACAATGGCGTTTGCAGATTTCATTTTCATATCTCTCAATCTTAATTTCCAATGCAATAAAGTGGAAGAAGCTAGGTGGTAGAGAAGGCCAAAAACTCAGCAGGAAACGTGTCACTGCTGCACTGGACGAATAGTTGAATGTTGCCTGGTTTTGGTTCATAATGTATTGTTTGATGTGATGTAACCTTAAAACCTGGATATAATCACGCGAGGATCATGGTTTTATCTCTATTAAGACGAGGTGGAAGGATGCTTGTACCTTTCTTTTTCCAGAGAAATTGAAATTGTACTTCTGAACGAGTTTTATCATCCTGAGAGTATTTCCATATTAGATTCTAATTTGAGACAAAGTTTCAATTTACTGATAGACATCTGCATTTTACATTGCAGTTTTCGATTGCTGTTTTACCACGGATGCTTGGAAGGAAGAGAATTATGAAGTTTACTTAGGTGGAATAGTTGCTCAACTCCGAGAACATTTAGCAGATGCTTCATTCTTGGTATTCAATTTTCGGAAATTAGAGATGCAAAGTCAGGTGGGTGATATCTTATCTAAGTACGATATGACCATAATGGACTACCCTCAGCAGTACGAGGGATGCCCAGTTCTGACAATGGAAGTGATCCACCATTTTCTAAGATCATGCGAAAGTTGGCTTTCCCTTGGACTGAATAATGTTTTGTTAATGCACTGTGAACGTGGTGGTTGGCCAGTTTTAGCTTTCATGCTTTCGGCACTCTTGATATATAGGAAACAGTATAGTGGGGAGCAAAGAACATTGGACATGGTTTATAGGCAGGCACCTCGTGAGCTTTTGCATCTCTTGTCTTCTGTGAATCCAGTTCCTTCTCAATTAAGGTATCTGCAGTATGTTGCAAGGAGGAATGTAGCCTTAGAATGGCCACCTATGGACAGAGCTCTCACTTTGGATTGTATCATTCTGAGATTTATTCCAAATTTTGATGGAGAGGGTGGTTGCCGTCCAATATTTCGAATATATGGACAGGATCCTCTCCTTGTCAGTGACCGAACTCCTAAAGTTCTGTATTCAACTCCAAAAAGAAGCAAAAATATCCGTACTTACAAACAGGTGATATGATTCATTCATTTGTATTGATCAGAATCACAGGTTAATGTAAAACAAATCTCTCTGTTATTGATTCCAGAAGCATCTTTTGTTTCTTTTCAAGTCATAAAGAGTTGATATTGTTAATCGATTGTTTTATTTCTAAAACATCATATCTAACCAAATTGGAAGGTTTGGCATTTGTGGCTGTAGTCTGGAACTAGAAACTGGACATTTAACATTCTTGTAAATGTTTGACCTGATTTTGTGCATCTTGACTTCTTTGTGCTGCTTCCCAATGTTACCACACAGGCTAGTATAGGTTCAAAATGACTTCCAACTTGATAATATACAATAAGTTTAAGTGCATGTGCAATGATCATAAGTGATTAGGCTTTTAATTTCTTCTAGTATTAAATGGTCTTGAATGCTCAGCTTGCCAAATCGGACACCCTTAATCCAATCGGAGATTTTTCTGATGACCATGATAAAGAATAACAATATCTTAATTTTTGGGGCTTTATAGTTTTGTGGTAACTGAACTATCTAAGGAATCAAATTAGAGCATGGATTTTATGATTTAATCTGCAAGAGAATTTGTTTCCTGTACATTTCCTATGCTGTCACCCTCCTTGCCCTAGTCCAACGAAAAGCTGATTCTCAGTTGAGTTAAATGATTTTTGTAAATACAGTTAGAATCTTCAATGTTATTATATGGTCAACCTTTTGTACACTGTTGCAGGCAGAATCAGAACTGGTTAAGATAGATGTTAATTGCCACATTCAAGGAGATGTTGTTCTTGAGTGCATCACTTTGCATGATGACATGGAACTTGAAGAGATGATGTTCAGAGCAATGTTTAATACAGCTTTTATACGGTCTAATATTTTAATTCTCAACCGTGAAGAGATCGATACATTGTGGAATGCTAAAGATAAATTTCCAAAAGTCTTCCGAGCAGAGGTCTGTCTCTCTTGTCCTGCCATGATTTTCGTCCCGCCATGATTATCTCGTAGTGCATCTCTTACTTGCATATGTTCTTTGATCATCAATTTAATGTAGATTATTTTCTCTGAGATGGATGCTGGAGCTTCTACTGTCGCGAGCGATATACTTTGCTTTGATGAGGAAGGTCTTCCCATGGAAGCATTTGCTAAAGTGCAAGAGATCTTTAGTCATGTGGATTGGTTAGATCCCAAAGCGGATGTGGCCCTTAATGTGCTCCATCAGATGAATGCCTTGAACATAAACCAAGATAAGTCGGACAACAATTCTCTTTGGAGTGCGCAAATGACTCCTTTACTTCAGTCTACAAGTCCCAGAAACCTTCAGCAGAAGAAGTCCACGTTGGAGAACAAAACCAAAATCCTAGAGAAGGAAGAATCTATTCGAACATCTAAAATTTCCCCGGATGCTGCTAAAACTGAACAGAACAATGAGTTACAAGCTACAGTAGTTGGCCCTCACCTGAGCAATCAATCTGCTTCAGGACGCCAACTGGTGCAAGATTCACCCAATTCACAGAGAAGAGATGGGACCTCATACAGTGCTTCAATTGGAAGCCATTCGTTACATGATTATGAAGGAGAAGCAGAGGTTTCTCATTTGAAAACTCAATCTTCAGCTCTTTCGAATGCAGCATTGGCGGTTTCCCTTGCACCTGAATCTCTTCAGAATAAAAGTGTCCTTACAAAAACAACACCACCGCCTCCTCCTCCTCTCCCCCAACTTCCCACGACTATTTCTTCTGCTGATTGTCTACTTCATCCTCCCCCGCCTCCAGCTGCACCACCACTCCCATCTAATAACTTTTCAACTCCAAGACCAGATAAATCATCGCTTACCAAGGAAATAGAAAGTCAGTTATCAACCATTAGCCCTCCACTATCTGTAACCTCTGCAATTAATTTCTCATTAGAGTCTTCTCCACCACCTCCTCCACCTCCACCTCCTTCTACACCTCCATTGAAGGAAACCATAGCGGTTAGAGTTAAAGCTTCTCCACCTACGCCCCCTCCTTTTCCTTCTACACTAGCTTCCTCTCCTAAAATTGCATCTTTAGTGCCTCAACCACCACCACCTCCTCCTTCTCCAATATCCACTGTAAATCATAAAATTTCATCCCCAATCCCTTCACCACCACCTCTTCCGCCTCCTCCAATGGTCATCACAGATCCCAAAATTTCCTCTCCAGTGCCTCCACCACCACCTCCTCTTCTTATGACGTCCACACAGGTTGAGAGTATTTCAACTTCTACATCTCTTCCTCCTCCACCGCCACCTCCTCTTCCTCTGATGTCCGGACAAGATGGAAGTACTTCAACATCTTCATCTCTTCCTCCACTGCCACCGCCTCTTCCATCCAGACAGGTTGGAAGTGCTTCAACATCTCCATCTGTACCTCCTCCACCGCCACCACCTGCTTCCACCACGGGCTCCTCCCCACCTGTTCCTTCTGCTCCCCCTCCTCCCACCCTTCCAGGGAAAGGGATTTCAAAATCTGGTGACCCGTTTCCTGGTTCTCTTGGCTCATCTAGGTCTTCCTCTCCCGTGCCACCAAGTATTTCTCCATCCAGTGGAAAGGGACGGAGTTTGTCACGCACTATAAGTTCAAGAACACATATAACCAAGAAACTGAAGCCATTGCATTGGTTAAAGTTATCTAAAGCAGTGCAAGGAAGCTTATGGGCTGAAACTCAAAAAACTGGTGAAGCTTCCAGGTATGCTAGCCCTTATTTCTAGAGAAGTTCTGAAATAAGTCAAACAATGCTTCTGGACCATTAATGTTAATATTTTGTTGTAGAGCACCAGAGATTGACATGTCAGAGCTTGAAAGTCTTTTCTCAGCGGCAGTTCCTGCTCCTGATCAGCAGAAGTCAGGTGCACGAGGCTCAGTTGGAAATAAATCCGAGAAAGTGCAACTGGTAATTTAATTAATCTAGCAGTTGATGCTGGCCATTCTCTACTTCAAAACCATTATAATTATTACCATGAATTTTATACAGTAGTTTTGCTGTGATGCTATCACGCCATATCCTGTAGTTTATGAATTGTTAATATAAAAACTATTATAACAGAATAAAGGGATGAATCTACGGAGAGACTGACAACACATCATACGAAGGATGCTAACAAATTAAATAACGAACCAAACCATGTAGACTAATGACATTCAGACAACATTCACAAGTTTTTTGCAAGAATGCTTACTCATAACAAAGGCTACTGCACAAGTCATAGTAATTGACATGTTCGCACAGAAATCCCAGACTCCCAACTAATGATGGTAATCACCTATCCAATGTTTAATAGATTCTTCTCCCTCACCTCTAGAGCCTTTTGCAGCATCCACTTGAAGAATCTTTTTTCAGAAATCATCCTCATGACTTCTGTAACTTTAAAACTTAGGCTTCAGACTTCAGTATAGTTGGCCATCAGAGTAAGGAGTTGAAATGATTGCACTCAATCCTAAAATAGCAACAATTATTATACTCCATTTTTTCCGATTTTTAATTTTCTTAAAAGATATGTACTTCTCTGAAGATGCTGGTGATGAAAATAAATGAAAGTTTTGTGGTTTTGTTGAAGACTAGTGATTTTACATGGAGACATAGAAGACTATCAGTATTATTCTTCAATAATTACATGATCAGAATATTTAAAAATGTCATTATTATTAAATCTAATCTGATATGTCTTGTCAAAAGACATTCATCGAAGAAATAAATTTTATCCGAAGAGCGCTCATCACCTTATGGACTGGGTGTAGTTTAAACAAATTTTTACATGGTTTCTAATTAAGCACGCAACTCTTTACTACTAGCATTCGCATAAAAGTGGCTACTTGATTTCATGCATGCTCACTTTTGAGACATCAGACTACATTTAATTTTGAAAAATAGAATTTAATAAATAAACTTCGAAAAGTTGAAGTGAGTTTTCGCAGGGCTAAAAGTTTCTCTCCTTTAAGCTACTTATATATTATCGTAGGTTATATATAGTATATCATAACAGATAATCGAAATGAATATTAGTAAAGGCGGCCATTTACGTTATTTAAACACTTGTAATGCCAAATATAATCGGCAGTTGTCTCATTAATTATTTCCAATTTTTGTCTGAAGATGGGATGGTTATATGAAATGGTCATTTTGGTTGATTATCCCATCAGTAGGCTGTTTGGTAACATTTTTGCAAAGCAAAAGTGGTAGTATGAATACACTTGCTTTCTTCTTCTCTCCTACCAGTTATAGTTCATATCAACCTTTTTAGGGATTCCATAACGTTATGTTTGATTACCTGATATTGTCACAGATTGATCACAGGCGAGCTTACAACTGTGAGATCATGCTTTCAAAGGTCAAGGTGCCTTTGCATGACTTAATGGTAAATTTATATTTAATTTGCTTATAAATTTTGTATATGTATATCTTCTAATGAAGGTAAGGAAAAAACGTTTCAATTATCTACTCATCATTGCTTCTTGTCATGGTCATAAAATGAATGATCACGATGAAACCATGGATCAATTATCTCTACCTTGTCATTTGGCAATGTTCTTGCAGTCCAAATTTTATTGGATTTTAAGATTCATCTTCTATGTTTGTTTGCTAGCTTATGGTTTGCATAGATGAAACAGAATGACAACTTTTTCTGGGCGATAACAACACTTGGTATTGGGTTGAGATGTTCGATTATTTTGATGATAGAGATGTTAATTTATTCATTATGCTACCTCTTTTGTTAGTTTGAATTGTGATGTAGCTCTTTCTTGTAATGTTTGATGTTTGTAGTTGAAGAGGATACCTAATTTATTTTTATTTTTCATCAATAAAATTTGTATTGTTAAAAAAATGCAGCTAATTATTATTGTTGATAGTTTCTCCATGCAGCGTATGCTCAATTTGGTTTGGTAATTTGTTCTTACTAATTAACCTTAAATAGTGTGCCTTCTTGGGTAATGTTGGCAGAGTTCTGTGCTTGACCTTGAAGATTCAGCACTGGATATCGATCAGGTTGAGAATCTTATTAAGTTTTGTCCCACAAAGGAGGAAATGGATTTACTTAAGGTTGGTGAATTATCAAAATTGGTAATCCTAGTAAACTTGAACCCATTTGTCTTTCTTTTAATATCTTATCAGTAAAGGCCTTGTTTTGCCGACATGAGCTTAGCTTAGCGGTAATTGACACATGTATACGACCAAGAGATCACGAGTTCGAATCTCCCACCTCTACTTGTACTAAAGAAAAAATGAATAAAATAAAATTTGTAGCCCCTTTGATATTTTAAAGGCCTTGTTCTCTCTCTCACTCTCGGTGAAGGCAGACTTGTTAATGCTAATCATTTAAGTATTTCTAAATTTGGGATAAATTCAAATGATAAATAGAATGATGGGTAATTAAAGCATGTAGTGTGAAAAATCAGAACCTTGATATTTTACGGTTAATACATTCTTTGCAAGTCACTTGCATGTTTATGTGCAGGGCTACAACGGAGAAAAGGAGAAGCTTGGAAAATGTGAACAGGTTTTTAAGGAAACTCTTTCAGCATTTCTTTACCTGAGGTTTTAATTGCTGCCCATTCATGGATGACATGCATATTACATGTTTGTATTATTAATACAAAAGCATGTAAAATTGCTTTTTTTCCACTTTTAGTTGAAAGTTTATTGTGGCTAAGAAGATAAGCAAATGCTAAATTGTCTCGAGGCAAGAGTTGGGTAAATCTAATTCATTTATAGATATTTAACACACTCCCCCTCACTCGTGGGCTATAATTGCACGAAGGCCCAACAAGTGGAAATTATAATAAGTGGGGTGGAAACAACAACACAGGAGTTGGACCTCCCACTCTGATACCATGTTAAGGATGAATAAACCACCACTTAATCCACAAGTTTAAGTTGATGGATTGGATAAATTTAATTCATTTATGGATATCTAACAATCTTGAAGGAGAGATGTACAAAAGCAATGACAAGGATGAGGTTTTTCTCAAAGATGAGAATCCTGTACTTTAAGTTATCCTGAAAAGAACAGAGGAATCATAGAATTATTATAAAAGCACTCAGGGATATTTTAACATGGTGATCTGCAATGTTTTGATTAACGATAGATAGGAAATATTAAAGTTGGGCTGAAAAATGTTTTTCCTTGCAAATTAGTTGGAAATTTAACTGTTCGACTTGGATAAATTAATTAAGAACTTATTTACTTTGTTGATTGTTTGTTAAGGTACTGTTTACACTTAGTTTTATATTGTTACAATTTCTTAAAGTACAAGAAATATTCTGCTTCCATTTGCTAATTCCTACTGGAAATGGACAGAAATCGGCCGTGAACTTTCTTAGTTCTTTGAAAGACTGGCATATTGTGTTGAATGGGGCCTTTTGGCTTCAGTTTCTTTGTTGTTAACCTTGTTTTCACCCTCAGATCACTGTTGTAGATACATTGAATTCAATTTTTCATGAAGTGATGTTTGAAAACTTTGCATTTCCATATTTCTTTTCCTCTCCACTCTCTCTCATTTTAGTTCAATCTGCATTGCTTATTAAATTTGAGGATAACATTATTTTTCTTACCCTTTTTTTTGGGGTTTGGTCTATGAATTTGGAGCTGATAAATGCTCTAATATTCCTCACAGTTTTTCTTAGAGTTGATGCAAGTACCTCGTGTAGAATCTAAACTTCGAGTTTTTTCATTCAAGATACAGTTCAGTTCTCAGGTGGATTGCATTACCTGCCACACACACATTCAGACACATACTGAAGGTAGTTATTAACCAGCCCTCTTGAATTGTAATGCAGGTCACAGATCTTAAAAAAAGCCTGAACTTTGTTAACTCTGCTGCAGAAGAGGTAATCTCTGCTCATGGTTCTATGACATGATCTTTTGTATCTTTGCTAATGCTCTTATTTCAGATAAAAAATTCAGTCAAGTTCAAGAGAGTCATGCAGACAATACTCTCTCTGGGAAATGCTTTAAACCAGGGAACAGCAAGGGGTTAGTTGATGTTGCATCCAATACTCTCTGAATGCAGCATATCATATCTATTCATTTACCATCATGAAAACTGTACATCAATTAACTGAACATTTTAGGGTCCGTTTGATAACCATTTCGTTTTTGGTTTTTAGTTTTTTAAAATTAATGTTGTTTGCTAACCAATTCAATTTTCTGTACTAATTTGTAATCTACTTAGTTTTTAAAAACAGATTTCTTTTTTTCAAAATCTAATTTTTTTTCTTAATACTCAACTTTTGTTTTATTTCTCATATTTTCTCTAAAAAAATTTTCTCACTCTAAATTTTTTTTATTTCTAAATTTCTCTCTATAAAATTTATTTTTCTCTCTCTAAAATTTTCTTACTTTGAATCTTTATTATTATTTGTCTCTCTCCAAATTTTTCTATCTCTATGTATTTTTATTTTTTATTCTATTAAATAAATTTCTCTCTACAAAATTTCTTTTTGTCTCTCTAAAATTTTCGTACTTTGAATATTTATTATTATTTGTCTCTCTCCCCAAATTTTTCATAGCTATGTATTTTTATTTTTTATTCTTTTTCTAACGGATCGGTTTAATTTCTCTCTTTAAAAATTTAATATTTTTCGAACTTTTCTCTCTCTAAAATTTCGTCTTTTATAACTTTTCTTTCTCTTCCTAATCTATTTTTCCATCTTCTTTTCTTGTTCAATTTTCTTTCATGGGAAGTTTTATTTATCTCTATATTTATTTATTTTCTCTAAAAATTATATTTTGAATCTTGTTTTTACCTAAAAATAGGAAAAACATGTCCGAACCTTGTCCTCGATTCCACCTTTTAAAATAATTAATATATATATTACGTTTTTTTATTTTTTTTAATTCTAAAAATAATTAAAAAAAATTATAAAACCAATAATTTCTCTCGAGAACATCTCTCATACCGAAGAACGAGGTAGAGGGGGGATACAAAATTTTCACGGACACGAGAATGGAGGATAGCATCCTCACTCGCACCCACACCATTGTCATCTCTACTCTACGTAGAGTTTTCTCTTTTATTTTCAATTGTCTAACTTTTTAAAAACAGAAAACTAAAAATGGTTACTAAACATGTTTGATTTTCTGTTTTTCAGAAACAAAAAAACAAAAAATGGTTATCTATGATTTTTGTTTTTTAAAAACCAAAAACCAAAAACTAAGAACATAAAAAACGAAAAACAAAAATGGTTATCAAACGGGCCCTTAAAGTTCTTGTTTTTCAATCATAAATAATTTAAAATTTTAACTTCCAGCGGAGCCTCAATATTTTAATCTGAACTTCCTGTGTTCTTTTGCTTCCTATAAACCTCTTTCAGAATAATATATTTAACTAAATTATGTGAAGTTGAGTTTGCTCCCTTCCACTTTTCTCTTATTTTATTTGTTATTTCAGTGGTAAGAATACTACACTCCATGCTAATTGAAATATTTCTTTTGTAATAGTCTTGCTGACTTCACCTATTCGTGGTCGTCCGTTTCCTTTTAGGCTCTGCTATAGGATTTAGGCTGGATAGCCTTCTTAAACTGACAGACACTCGTGCAAGAAACAACAAGATGACTCTAATGCATTATCTTTGCAAGGTGCAACTTATACTGTTTATTTTTCTATCAGCATGATTTATATTTTGTTGGTTTTCAACTTTACATTGACTATCAGCTGTCGAGGACTATAAAATACATATGGGCTTTTATATACTGTCAACTAACGATAAGCATCTGTGATATGTATCTGACATTTTAGACACCATTTTTTCCTTTGTAAAAGCCTCTATGACACTGTCACCTTGTTGTTGGTTTGACTAGAGATGTTGAAAACATGCTACAAATTCAGGCATGAGTGTATCCGAAATTGCACACTGCTTGCTTGCTAAGGAGGTCCCATGTCTCTCCCAATACATGAGGGTGGGCTGAAACTTACATTTACTGTATAACTTTGACCCAAAATGAAGAGAGACACAAGAAAAAGTTAAAAAAAAAGGGGAAAAAAAAGAACAAATGGGTTGGATGAGCTCGACGCCATCTCTAAGATAATAGAGAATGGATGATAACCACACCTAAAACCAGTAATAGGGGGGACAAGATCAATGGAGTGGGTTATGGGCGTTTAAAATTACGGTGATGCTTGGATTTTCAATTTTAGCATCGGTAATTACAATTTAGAGGTCGTCATGAGGATAATAATACCATTGAAGTGTTTCCATTGTCAATCTTAAGCTCCGATAGGGCAGTGGTAGGTGGTTATTGGAGAGAAGTAAGCCTCTTGTGTGCTTACTGCGTAGTATTCCAGTGTAACTTTACTCTAATGTAGTAATATATTTCAGCGCATCTTTTTTTCTATGATCTTCAATCTCAAGTTCAGATCCCTTTCCATCTATCATTGAGAACAAATAGTGATTGGCGTAGTGTAGCATACTGGAACCAGTCTGTTAAGTTTATTATGTGTCGAAGTGTAGATACTTTCTGACAAACTGCCAGAAGTTCTGGATTTTTCTCAAGATCTTGCAAGCTTGGAGCCTGCATCAAAGGTGTTATCTCATCTGTTGAACTTGGATTTTGTTTGTATATGTGGTGGGGAGGAGAAGGGAGGTTGTCTCCTTTACTGAGGCACAATTTCTATCCAGGTACAATTGAAGGTTTTGGCAGAAGAAATGCAAGCAATAAGCAAAGGGTTGGAGAAAGTTGTTCAAGAACTGTCTACATCTGAAAATGATGGCCCTATATCCAATAACTTCAGAAAGGTACTCTAGCTCACTAATTTAGTATACATTTTTTCTACCACTGCTCAGCTAATCATTCATGATTCAATAATTGGAAATGATCACTGACTCTGATTCATGGGATCTAGGTGATATTGTTTTTAAGAGGTTTAACTAAAGAAGTTATCTAAATGGTAGTAATAACCTCAAGTTTAAGTTATCTTAGATCCCTCTTTACTATGCACCATGGCTTGAACGTTTTCGGTGATTTTGGTTAAGTTTTGATTGTGCAATTTTTATTCCATCTTTTTTAGTTTTTTTTTTTCCATTTATTTGCAATGCATGTATCTTAATTAACAAACTGTATCACAGAAGGTCTGGTTTTCTAGTGGAAACAACTAAATTCTTTTTATCAATTCTCTTAGATCAAGAAGAACTCTGTCTCAAGTTATTTGCACCATTGGTTGAGGTGAGGGTAGTCAGCTTGAATTGCTATCTACCCTTAAAAGTTCACAGCCTAGCTTGAGTAACTTGGTTTCAAGTAAAGCATGCGGCAAATCGGGTGTACGACATAGTTTTTAATCTGTTCTTAAAAAGTTGTCAGCATTAATGGAAAACAAAGACATATTGCAGAAAAGTAATTTTTTATGAGAGATTCCTTCTCTAAAATGATAAAAGAAAGTCGTTCATCTAATATGCTTATATTCCTTGAGCTGGAGAACTTCTGGTGTCATTTGGCCATTACATTTATGCTTATATCTGAAGTAATAAATATTGAATGTCGTACCCCATTCCATGTAATTTTTTCTTTTGTTTTTTGACATGGAACCATTCAGCAATTCCATGTATCAATCTTTATCATTTTGAAGATAATTTTTATTAGTGCTATCTTGATTTTATCTCCCCTCCTTGTGATTCAGGTTTTAAAGGAGTTCCTTCGTTTTGCTGAAGCTGAAGTGAGAACTTTGGCTTCGCTGTACTCTAGCGTGGTAGGTGCTGCTTCTCGATGCATCCATTCAATCTATAATCGTCCAGTTGCATTAGGTTATTGCTTATGCGGAACTTGATATACTTTGCAGGGTAGAAATGTAGATTCTTTGATTCTTTATTTTGGAGAAGATCCAGCTCGCTGCCCCTTTGAACAAGGTATTTGTTCATCATGAGTAAAAAAGTGTAGGAGCATTAGCAAGAAGCAGCTGTCTGGATTACTCCTTTCAGTGTCATTGTTGATCTAATTCTGTTTCCGTTAAATTTCTACTGCAGTTATGTCAACATTATGCAACTTTGTGAGAATGTTTAACCGAGCCCACGAGGAAAACTGCAAGCAGATTGAGCTTGAAATGAAGAAAGCAACTGAAAGCGAAAAATCAAAGACGGGGCACTTGCATAAGAAGACAAGACGATTGTCACACTCCCAAATTGAGATTGGCAACGTCAAGTAAGTTGTTGTGTCGTGCCGTAACTCAGTTCCTTCAAGCAAGCCCTCCAGCTCTACAGACATCTGACATAAATAATTAGTTTAAGCGAGTGATTATCTGCTTGTTGATGTTGAGAGAGGAGTGCATCACATACCTCAGAATGATATAAGTTAATTTGTCCTCCTGAGGTAATATTCTTGACCCAATTTACTGGCGCTTTCGTCTACCCACCTCCCATATTGATAGCTTCGTCTCTCTCGGTGTAGTTAGCGCGATTTTTTAGCTTTAACACAGCTGATTGATTCCATTATTTGCACTGCAGCAATGCTGGCAGATCATGCTTTATCCTGTTGTTCAATGGGCTGAACAGAGCTCTGCTTGTACCGAAACTGAACAAATTATTTTGTGTACATAATTGTAGCAAAATAATAATACAGGGGATAGAAGTAGAAGTAGTCATCTTTCGAGGTTGCTCTATAATTTGAAGATCCCCTGGTATTCTTTAATTGGGCAAATTTCATCCAAATGTGTATTTATCTTACCATTTTGAGAAATTTTTGAGTTGTGTTATGCTATGTGCACCTTAGTTTTTGCTCAAATTTCTCTCAGGGCTCAACTCGCTTACTCTTTTATACCACATGTTATATGTCGTCAAATAATTGTTCCTTAATTGTATCAATATATAAGTAATAGTGTAATGATATGGATTAAATATAGGCATTTTACATACATTGTTGTTGGTATATTAGAAGGAAAAAAAAACCTAAATTGAGAAGATATTATAATCATAATTTGTTATTTAGCTCATATATAAAATAGAAATAGTGATAAGAAGAATATTTGCATATTTGTCCAATTGTCCTCGATTTTTGTTAGCAGAGTATTCATTTTGACATCAATTGTTAAGATTTGGGGTGGATGGTAAGGCTAAATTCTATAATTATAATTATAGAATTTGTAACGTGTTCGAGAGTTATAAAGTTTGTGTAAGTTCCAGGGTTCAAAATGTCGTTCGACATATAGCATGTCGACGTAGACATAGGGGGGAAAAGTCGATTTTTCCCCCATGTCGAAATGTCGACATGTTTTTTTTTCTCTTCTTCTTTTAATGTTATTTTATTTTCATCATCTTCCTACTATGTCACTACAGTCTATAATTCTCACATTCGAATTTTAATACCGTATAAAATATAACTAATAAGATTTGGAATTTGCTTTATTGATACTTTCTAATCCAATCTAATCCTTACTTACATAATTGAACAATATATGTGAAATATTGACATATATAAAGATCGAAATAATCTTAGAATTTTTAAAAAATAAAATATTACTATATACAAATAGTGGTGAAACATGAAGTAGAATAGGTAACTTGATTAATACAAAAAAGATATCATAGTTTTCCCCGGTCATCCTAAAGTTTTGAAGGTAGTTGCTCATTGAATATGAAGCACATATGGATCTCATTGGATAATTTGATTGGAAAGTTGGATTGATGATTGATTCGAAAATGTGTTTGAAAAATGTGTAAATTCAAATTTGAAAAGAGAAGTAGGTACAAATTAATTAGAATTTAGAAATGTGTTTGGAAATCAAGTCGGTAATTATCTCATTTCTTAATGAATCCTATTATGAAAAAACACAAATGACAAATAATTTCCATCGATCTTTATTAAAGAAACAAATATTTTTTCGATATTTCCATCGACATCGACATTTTCACATAAAATGATTATATTCTTATGGTTAAATGTGATCAATTATAGGCTAATTAAACTACAATTCAAGTTTTATTTGCTAATTCAAAAAATTTCCATCAAATTCCACAATTTCCATTATTTTTTTTCGAAATATCCATCGATATCGACATACCCGTAAAATTGGGACCTCGATTTTTTCATCGACCTCGACATTTTGAATACTGGTCAGTTCAAGCATAATTAAATAGATAAAATATTTTCATAATTGTTGAACTAAAAATATAATTATGGATAGTTTCATTAAAATATTATTGAACAAAAAATTATTACAACTTGCTGGATTTTTTTTAAAATATGCTTTCTATTTCCTGTTATACATAACTATTTTTTGTTTTTGATAAAGCTGTTATACATAACTACCTTTTTGATAAAGTTATGGATAGATAAATACATTCATAAAATATAATCTTTATTGTGAAACATACACGTATATATATAGATATGTCTTCGTGTGTGTTAAATATTGATGTAGAAATTTTGCCTGACCGGCACTTCAAGTTAGAATCGGATGTTGAGGGGGTGTTTGGTTCTTTCTTTTCGAAACGGAGAATAGGGTTTGTTAAGACAAACTATATTTGTTTCACAGTTTTATAAATCTAGGTTTGCTACCTATTCCATCCTAGGTTGCTACAGTAAATACTCTTCCACCCCTGTTTACTACGGTACTTTATCACTACTCCTCAAGTTGCTACACTATTTTATCATTATTATTTTAAATTGTTACATTGTATATTTTATCTTTTTCTCTCCTCTAAAATGCATTAACTTTTTTATAAAATATATTAGTTCTAATTATAATTTTAATAATAAAAAAGCAAATGAAATTAATTAAAATTGCAAGCGACAAAAAAATTTTAATCGTAAACTTTATGATCGGAAGCTAAAATTGAAAATGAAGAAAGTAGCCAAATCGAGTTAATTTATTTGATCGGTTGGAACTATAACGGTAGCTTAGTTCAATTTTCTTAAACTTATATGCCAACTTTGACAAAAACCAACTTAATCATTTCATTTATACCTCTTATAAACTTAGAGAAATTACAATGATAAATTTATATCCAATAATTTAACTTGAAACAATATATGTAATAATTTATGTATACACTTTAGTCACACTTCGAAAAATATTTTAAAAAATCAATAACAAAACTAATTAAATATTTATTTCACACAATAATTATTCAAAAAGAATTAAGATTAATAATTCTATTGAAAATAAATTATTCATACTCAAAATATTAGTTACTAAATAAATATTATATTTTAAAATAATCTAGACTGTTATATTTTAAATTCAAAATTTAAAACACCCATATAATCTAATAAATTTATTTCTCTAAATCTATAATTTTATCAAATTATTTTTACTAGTGCAATGTAAAAGTTAAATTAGCGTAATTAATTAAAGAAATGTATTTTATACGATAAGTGAAGTTAACTATTTTGATTAGTTTGTATTGAAGTTAATAACTTTTAAATAATTATTATTTAAAACTTTGACGTTTTAATCAAATATAATATTAGCTATGTAGAAAAAGAAAAAAGTAGTTAAGTTTAATGAAAATTTTGTTTTTAATTAGTAAATAAATTAAGTTAGCATATCAAGAAATGAAAAAAAAATTAAATAAACTATTAATAACAATTATTTTGTGGTAAATTACATGTTGGATAAATTTGTATAAAAAAATTATTGAAAAAGAAGAGCAGACTGTGTGTTAATTTTTTTTATTGATATTGAAAGGTATACTTCCTCATTTCATATTAAAACATAAGTTTTAATTTAATTTTAATTATTTCAATACATGAACTATCTATTATTTATTATAAATTCAAAATCTACCGATAAACATAATTTTAATAACCTTAAGTTTAACAAAATAGTATCCAAACACAAGTTTAAAAAATCTAGACTTAACAATCCTCAATCCAGACTTAATAAACCTAACAACCAAACGTCCACTTAACAAAGTCAGACTTAACAACTCATACTTTATAAACTAAAGTTTAACAAACCTCCTCAAACGGAGGAACCAAACACACTCCTGAAAGTTGTACGGTTAAGAGTAAGGTTATTTTGCATACCTCTAAAGTTTAGTGTCTTTTTCTATTTATAGGGTTCTTCGTACTCCTAAGAAACCTAGCTTTCTCGAACTTCAAAGTAGATATTGTCGTGGACCAGACGTCGGGTGGAAAAGGTTATTGGTGCGTTATAGAATCCCACGAGGTCAAGACATTGGATAACTAGAACTTGTTGACTAGTTGTGGGTCAAGTCCTCTGCTTCCAGTGAGCTTTTCGGATTTAGGTCTCTTTTGTCCTCTCTTCTAGTTCGAGCCCATATTTATTTTCTAGTTTACGTGTCAATTCGACTTTATTTATCCATAACAATAAACATTCTACTTTACATACGGAACCGTTTTTAAAATGGTTATATTATAGACTATCAAACCATACTAAAAGGGGATTTGAAAGTTTATTTTACGAAGAGAGATTAGAAACGAAATATTCCACCCAGCCCTCAATAAGAAATTTGAATTCCCGCTCTCAAAATTTATATAGAAAAATAAAAATACACCCAGCCCGATTCGGACTAGCCACTAATTTTCTTTAGGAAAAAAGAAAAAGAAAAAAGAAAAAGAAAAGGAAGAAGACGAAATTATAAAATGATCCGCCGGTTATATACGGTATAAAACCCCCGTCATTTGATCTTCTTCCTTCGCTGCCACGTCACCGAATGCAACTGTCTTGAGGAGAGAGCATTTGCTTTGCTTCATTCCAATGGCAGAGCTGCAGGAGTGAGGACCACTGCTGCACAGTTCGTTTCATATTCCGCACAATCTGAATATCTTTCTTGATTCATCTGTGTGTAGAGCGGCGAAGAATCTCAGAAGGTTTCATTTCTGTCATTTTGTTTTATATCTCTGTTCTCTGCTTGTATTCTATTGTTTTCGGTTCTTTAATCCTATTCCTCGTCGTTTCTTCTCCCTCACGGATTCGTCTACATGAGCTCCATGCATAGCGTATGAGAAACCACTTGTTTGAGACGTTTCATGCATTTTTTTGTATACGGTAAATGAACTTTCTCTTTGCTTTGGATGTTATGAACTTCCCGTGGATGAAGTAGACTAGTGGTTTGTAAGCATTGTTCTTAGCGATCGGGAGAGAAAACTAGATCAGCGGATGTATTTGAAGACGACCATTTCGAACATTTTTCTTTGGCGGACTAGTGTTTGGCTGCTCAGAAATACAAAAAAGAGTAAGGGAAAAAAAGAAGAAGCCTAAACATGGAAATATTAACATTATTTTTTAATGGAACCAGCCTGAAAAGCTTTTTGGTTGCTTCCCCGATCCTTTCGGAAATAAATCTACCGTAGGCTTTTGCTTTCCGATTTTCTATTAACTCTCGGATGTTCTTGCGGAGATTTTCTTCAGTCCTGGACATGTACTAATAAATAGTTATTTCTACTATTGTTGTAGGAAACAGAATACTTAGAAACAGAAAATAAACTTAGTTCGTGTTATCGATTCATTTGTATTGGTTTTTTTACTTGATTTAGTCGGTTCTCAGGAACTAAACTCGTACACTGTGCATAAGGTTTGAGAAGCTTTACTTCTCTATTTTCGTCCTGGTAGATGAGATTTGAGGAACAAAATGATCCATTGAGTTGTCGAATTTTGTTTTCTCATTTTTTGCCTTCGAGTGGAAGCAATAATGTAATGCCAATAAATAACCGGAGTTACTGATACCCTTTTTCTTGCCTTATTTGAGTTATACTGGTTTATTCTTTGTTTGGGAGGGGCATAAAATAGGCAGAGCGGAAAACAACTTTATGGTAATTTCTTTAGTTAGCAAACTATATCTTCATGCTTATCCCAATTAGTATTTGATCAGTAGTGCTTTTATTTTCCTGATAGTGATGATGATGTGGAAAATGGGAATTTAGAACAGATATTATTTCGGTTTAGATTTTTATAGATGTGTGCTACTTGTGAAATTTGAAGCTTAGATAAGCACGTCATGGAGCATTTTTCCCAAAGCTTTTACTTCCATCTACTGTGCATCACGTACTGATATTTCAATGTCGATGTGATTTTTTCCTTCACACATGGGTATAATGTTCTTTATCCATCAATTTATGTGTTCATGGTTATTTAATCTATTTCTAAAATTACGTTTTCAATGTCAGCACATGGACATTCTCAGCATCAAGAATGGTGATATTCCCTTTGACATTTTATCCTGGTTGCCAACGGAGACTCTTCTTGAAATGAGGTGCGTTTCTAAAGAGTGGTATCAACTTATTTTAGACCGCTCATTCGTACAGGAACAGTTTCAGAAGACCGGATTGACGTTATCAGGTTTCATCTTTCAAGAGAACTACCAATCATGTATTGACGATATAAGAACATTTAGCTATATTTCAGTAAATGCAGATTCTAAGGTGCATAAAATGGTCATTGATTTCCTGCCCGAGGATGTTGTTATTTTGGCATCCTGTAATGGCCTTGTTTGTTGTAGAAGTTGCTTCCCTACACAGCACCCTACAATCTATGTCTGCAATCCCTTCTTCAAGAAATGGGTAAGTTTTGAAGTGCCTCAGCTGGACAAAAGAAGCAACATTGCTCTGGTATTTGATCCCATTAGGGACCCTATCAACACGTCGACAAATTTCAAAATAGTAAGAATTCAGCAGTTAGAGAATGAACAAGAGGAAAGGTACTACACGTTTAAAACATACTCTGCAGAAACAGGAGCCTGGAAGGAATCGAATGAAGTTTGCTATTCAAATGGCAATTTGTCCAAGAACAAAGGCATTTATGCTAAAGGGACCTTACATTGGCTTACTGATTCGGATCAGATCCTTACATTTGATACGGAGAAAGAACTGTCTCTCTTAATTCCATCTCCAATTCCTGCCATGGAAGTTTTCATCAACGTCCCTGGAACATGCATAGGAGAATCCAAGGGCCTACTGCATTTCATCATGATCTGCGAATATGGAATTATTGTATGGTGTCTGGAAGACTATTTTGAGACAAAATGGATGCTCAAACATTCAAAACGGCTCCAAGTGATTGAGGAAGAGAACCCAAAGATGTTTTTCAAACTATACAACAGCACGCAACATAAAGTGGTTAAAGGTATGGATCCATGGATAAATCCCATAGCATTTAAAGATGAGGTTCTATTGATGAGGGTGTATGGAATTTTCTATTCATACCACACTGAAACAGGCAAGGTGGTGGAAGTTTGTTCGCTTAACAGTTTGGGTCCAAACCCCTGGGCTGATCCTTCAGTGCTTCCTTATTCCTTGAGCTTGGTTCCCTTGGACGTTTCTCCCTCAAAATCCGACTCAAATAGCAGCAGAAATCCCAGCTAGAACTAGTAAGCTACTGATGTTTTCCCTTTTGGAGAACTAGCTTTCTTTTCCCTGATTTTGTAAATGGTTTTGAGGGGATAGAAAATAGACTGGAAACGAGCTTTTCACTCTTTTGATTGGAATACAATGGGGTAGTTTTTTGGATACAAATAGTCAAAATTTTAGGCTACAAATCATTTTTTTGTTGCTATGCCAACCATGGCGTGAACTATCTAGCAAGTTATTTTCCCTTCTTTGATATTGGGAAGTTATATGAATTGTTCAAATGACAGATTTACTGATTACACGAGCTCTATTTACGTCAGAATATCTAAAAGTGTTCCTTTAATTGTTTTCTATTATATAATCATCGTTTTTGTATGGTTCTATAAGTAACAGTTCTCCTGCGAATGGCAAAATCTGGATTCCTTTATCTGCACAAGTTCAGAACTTCTTTTGAAGTGCCAAACTTTTGGCAGGGAATGAGTCTTGAGTCTCTTGACATTGAGGTAAGCCTGGTAAGTTCACATTTACTAGTATTTCAATTCGTTGATTGCTCTTTCTAATCTTAAGCGAGGCTTGCAAGTTCATGGCAGCAGTTACTGGAGTAAATATTTGTGTTTGGAAATTCCTGCGTCATATGCATATCACGAATTGATTAGGATATTTCCATATGGCATTTTAAAGCCTTTATCTCATCTCATGAAGTTGCTCAGTTAACTTACAAAAAGTTGTTTTGTTCTTTTCCAAGGTGAAAGACGACATGCTTCAGACTGAAAAGTTAATTTGCGTCTTCATGAGGTAACATTCTCAACCCTGTTCTGAATTCGTAGCTCTCTCTCTCTCTCTCTCTCTCTCTCTCTCTCTCTCTCTCTCTCTCTCTTTTAATTTAGTAGATTCTTAAACATTACTTTTTTTCCCAAGAAAATGCAAATGCTCTGTCTTTGTCCCATATTTTGAGATGCCAAATGAGGTCGGATGGATCAAGATTTTCCAATCGTTTTTTAATTTCGAATTCTATCATGGCCAAATTGAAGATTTTCCCCGATCAAATAACTGAAATGTTCTAAAAAATTTGCCATCTTTGAATCTGAGAGGTAACCCGTAGGATTATAATTAGCATTTGGGGGAAGTAGCAAAGATAAAATTTAAAGCTCAATGTTTTTTCTTCGTAAAAGTTAAATTAAAATTTTAGTTACAAAAGACACTTTTTGGTCCCATACTTTCCTTAAATAACAATTTAATTCATAAACTATATTTTTATATTGATAACAAGTGAGTGTCTGTAATTTGATTTTGTAATAGTTTAGTTCTGCCATGACAATTTTCATCAAATTTAAGTGTCAATTTTTATTGTTTAATAATTTAGTCTTTGGTTTAAATTTTGTAACAATTTAGTTTCTACTGTGAAAAATCTAAAAAAGAAAAATTAAGGTTTGTAATTTAGTCTTTGTAATTTAAAAATAGGTTCGGTCTTTATCGATCTACATATATAAAAAAAATCTTATTATATCTTATCGATATTTCTTTAAATCATTATAAATTTTAAATTATACCGACTAAATTGTTACCTATTAAAATATAGAGAGTAAAATATTTTATTAAATCATTATTTAAGAAAGGAAAAGTATTTTTATACTGTTTTTTTAAGCGCTCTGTAATAAATGCCTAAATATTTGATTAAATGGTTAGACCTTGGAGTATTTTCTAATAAGTGGTAGGTTTGGATATTTTCCCCACCGGTATAATATAATATCCTCAGAAGATGAAAAGTGGTTCGAACTAATTATTATTATTATTTTATTTATTTATTTATTTATTTCTCTTTTACCTTACTCATTATGGGCTGAGAGAGCTAATATTGCGTAACTGCTTGGCTTGACAACAACTGTGGAAATATTCTTAATTTTTTAATTATGTCACTGAATGTTTTGACTATAAACTATAGCCGTTGGGCACACTTTTCATTAGAGTTTAGACTTCCTCGGCAATTGAGATCGCAATCCCAAATTATTTCCAATTCCAAAAGATTGAAACTTTACTTTAGTTATACCTAATCCCCACCTATCATCAACACATCTTCATCATACGTAAGAAAATTTTAATTGATAGTTGACTGTTTGGCCCATTGCATCCACTCCTGAACTTTGCTCCAATCTCAAAAATATTAAATTTTCCTTGACATTATTTTATCTTATGAGATCTCACACTTTCATCTTCCATTATTGCTTCTTCATTTATTTAAAGAAGTTGGTCGTCATAAAAGAAAATACAAAATCTTCAGTAGGTACATCAGATAATTAAGAAGGAAAATCCTCCCTTTAGATCAGTTAGACTTTACCAGCTGAACTTTTGCTCAGCTATAATTTAGTCTTCCAATTTCTTCAAATTCTCAAATCCCACAAAAGAACGCTAGATTCTGATGAAACTTCAAATTCTGTGGGAAAATCAATTTTTAATCTTATGTCAACTTCTACTACATTTGCACACCAATTTTAATTAAATTTGATTAATGCACAAAATCAAAATCTCTAATTTCAACAAAAATTCAATTATAGTGTATTTTTTCTCTAAGTCTCACTAAATTTGTAATGAACCCATTCAATTGGATGAAATTGAAATTCCCCACTCTTTGGAGGTAAAGAAAAAGATTAATTTTTTTACCCCTGGAAATAACCCTAAGACTAGAGACTCCATAAACAACCCCCCTACCAATGTCTCAATCTTGCTAGCCAGTAGGCCCAACGCTAAAAAGAAAAAGGAGTTGAAATTGAAATTAGGGGCCATCAGTGTCGGTGTGGTACAGTGGCCAAAGTTGTGTGGTAGTAGAAAGAAGGAAGCCTGTTGAACTTGTATCATTTTGGACTGACATGGCCATGGGGCAGCCCCAAAAGCGGTGCCTCTCTTTCTGAAGGCCTCTGTGTCTGTCCCCCGCAGCGATTCCTCTCTCAGTCATTCTCTCGAACACCTTCCGTCCCCATCAGTACGTGACCCATTCAACACTCCCAATTTCTCTCTTTTCCCTCCCATCCATTTTATCACACACCATCCTCTAATTAAATATTATTAAAAACCCGTTTCATAATGCTTTTGTAAAGAAAAATGAATTACATGGCTTGAATATCTCAATATGCTAAAACTTGGAACAAATTGAAAATGAGAATAAGAAATAAGGAATCATGAGAACGTTACCAAACCGATCTTAAATTGCTGGAAAATTATCTGCAACGAGCCCTGTTTGGCTGATGGGTTGCGTCTGGAGATCCTTTTTCTGTTAAATTATTGAAATGGGAATGGATCCGCTTCTTCACTGTCACTTTGGTTGGTGAGTGGTGTGTATTATTAATTTCAGATTCCATTATCTGACACCCTTGTATCATAAAATTAAACTCTCGTGGTTTAATAAATCACATCAATTGAATACAATACAAGAGATTGCATTATCTTTCATCTTTATCTTTATGAATCAAATGCCATTGCCTATGTCCTGCTTTAGAGTTGAGTAGTTTTCATTTCTTTTTTCTTTCAATTTTTTCTCAATAGGATTACAGTATTTTACACACTGTCAAGCTTGGGTTTTGGTGCAGCCCACTTTCTCCACCGTTTGGCATTTTCTTCTCTACTACGGAATGCTCGTTTCTCGGAAATTTTGATTTGTTCCTTTCCAAGTTTGGCGTTTACTAGATTCATTGGGTTTTCTCTTCTGGGTTTCAATAGTTTATTGTCTTTTTCCCCAACTCTTAGTTCATTAGATTCAACAATTTCATCACATATAGTTTCTGCTCTCTCTGACTCTTTTTTTTATTTACTGGGTAGAAACTCCAATTTGGAAATTGGCAGTACTAATACTAATTAAAGTGTGAAACTTTCCTCTGCCAGACAAAATGGAGAGGGAACATGAACAGCATCATGTTCATGTCTACTACTGCCTACACTTTGCATGCAGTAGCTGTAATGACTGATGAATTTGGGGTGCCTCGTTTACAGTGATATTTGAAGATCCTTATGCTCTTTTTAATGGAATAAATTCCCAACACCATCATCCTTAGCACTCTAATCATTTCAACCCCACAAACGCCCCTTCCCCTCGCCTCTCTTTTTCCATTAATTAAAGAAGATCACAGAGCACCCCAGAAAAGAAAAAGCGAAAAACAAAGGATAAAGAGAAACCCAATCCTCCCCTCTCTCTCTACCTCTCTGCTTTTCGAAGGTATCCCAATGTCTTCCCCACCAACCGCCATTTCTTCACCTTAAAGCTTCCTGTGGCCATCAATGTCATTCTGTAATTACTAGAAAGAGAAAAAGGGGTGGGAGATAAAGGAGAGATGGATGTGGGAAGAAGGAAAGCAGGGGTTGGTATTAGTAGTGTGGTTTCGGGGTCTGTTTGGGAGAGCAGGATGAAGATGGATGAAGTGAAAGGTGGGATTAAGGTCTTCAATGGCGAAGATGGGAGTGGTAAAGATGGCAGAGCTGTAACGAGGGCAATGTCGAAGAGAATTTCTACTGCAACAACTGATGGTGCGGCGGCAGTGAGTGCGAAGAGGAAGGTTTGGAGTTGCGACGGGGCAGAGGGATCTGAGAAATCCCCAGCTAAAGGGAAGAGGAATTGCGACGAATTCAAGAGCCCAATTCAGGGCAGGAAGTTGAGATCTGAGGGGAATGAGGAGAATTCTGTTGCTATTGGGAGAATTGAGAGAACCCCAACTCAGATTAGGAAGTCGAAATCCGAAGTGGGGAGCAGATCAAACAGAGAAACTCATGAGAAGACCCAAATTCAGCTGAGGAAGGTGAAATCGGATTCCATCAGGACGATCGATAATGACAATGCCAAGGCCATTATTGTCGTTGCCGGTGACGGATTCGGTGCAAATTTGGAGCATTTGAAAAACCCAGAATCGGAATCGAACGAAGTCGAGAAGGGAATCCACGGATCTGTTAAGGAAATTGAGAAACCCCAAGTTGAGAATGAGAGTTCTTGCAGGGAATTTGGAGTGTGCCACATTCCGATCAAATCCGCTCAAAACGTGTCGATCGATGATAGCGATGTTAAAGATGAAAACGAAGGAGACGAAGGGGAGGAATCAGAAGAAGAAGACATTGAAATTGAGAAGGAGAGCTTCGATATCAAGGAGATCAATCTTCCGGAACCCAAGAAAGTTGTGAATGAAGTGAAGAGATTCCACCAAATCTACCAAAAACAGTCCCCACCAATTAATAAACATTCCACCGTTTACCAGAATCTCTCAAAACCCACTACAAGTACGTAAAAATCTTCTCTCTGTTCTTTCATCAAATCCCTTTATTGAATCAAAATTCTTGAACATTCTGTCGCATAATTTAATTAGTTCCTGACAATTTCCACCCAGCACCAGATGAGTACCACAGCTTCCAAGAAAAGAGCAACAAATTGCAGAGCTTAGGTACTACTACATTGAATTCTCTCATCAAATTAGTGGGTTTCAAGATTTTGCAACCAAGTTCTGAATTAGAGAATTGTTCTTACTTTTTGGTCAGTGGACTTGGTAATGTGGAAGGATGTATCGAGATCTGCCTTCGTCTTCGGGATTGGATCTTTTGTTATAATATCATCTTCCTACGCCAAGGACATCAATATCAGGTCCCAAAAAAAAATCATATTCAAACCCAATTTTCCATGGCAAAAATCAAATCCAAAAACTAATTTGTTCCCTCTGTCTCTCTTGCAGCTTTATTTCTGTGGTATCATATCTGGGACTCTTCTATCTCGCAGCCACGTTCCTGTACAGATCCATTATTTGCAGGTAATCCTTTTTCTCTAATCCCTCGTGAGAATTTGTTCTGAAGAAGAAGAAGAAGAAGAATTCTGTCATCTTTTTGGGCTGAGTTCTTGTTTGTTAATGGGAATCACAAAATTCAGGGGAGCCATTGATACGGAGCATGTGAGACATGTAGTGGGAGAAGAAGAAGCAATTTGGGTTCTGAAATTTGTCCTCCCTTACTTGAATGAGTTCTTATTAAAGCTGAGAGCTCTGTTCTGTGGAGATCCTGCAACTACAATGAAGGTAATTTTCCTTTTTCTTGAAAAAAAAAATAGTTCATAATCTCAAGAATGTACGGAAATAATGGCGGATTTATTTGGTATAATGCAGCTGGCAGTACTGCTATTTGCCTTGGCTAGATGTGGCAGCTCCATAACCGTCTGGAAAGTCGCCAAATGGGGTAGGAAATAGAATTCCAAATTTGCCCGTAAAAATAAAAGGGTTTATCGATTATTCAGCGAACTAGCACATATTAATTAATTTGAAATTTAATATGTCAAAATTATTTCTGGTAGAGAATTAAAATTGTATACACTTATTTTCATTTGATTTTTGTGTCAGGGTTTTTTGGAGTTTTTACTGTGCCTAAAGTCTGCTCTTCGTACTCCTCGCAGTTAGCAGCTTACGGTAAAATCTCTGACCTAAAATGCCACTTTTGTCCCTTTCACGATACCGTTAAGTTGCGTTCTCGATATCACTCTTCGCCAGCTTTTTCGTACTTTTCTTTCACCCTGCCCTGCTCCACCTCCTCTCTATAATAAAATTACTATTCATCATTTTCATTTTTTTTTCTCTTTTTTTCTTATTTATTTATTTCAATTGTTTTAATTATTATTTGTTTAAATTTTGGTTTATATAATGTTTTGTATTATTTTAGTTTTTATACTTTTAAAATGTTCATTTAGTTTCTTACTTTCAAAATCTCTATTTTAGTCCGAGTATTTTCATAAAGTGACAAATTTGGTCTATATTTGTAAAATCTGAACAATACATTTTGTACACATTTAGAATTATTTAATATAAATATATAACTACATTTCAATAATTGAAACGGGACGAGTGAAGTGTCCTACTAAAAGTAGAATCTAAAAAATAAAAATGAATGGAGAAACAAGACAATTTCTTTTAACGTAAAAGTACAGATACGAAAATAGATGTTCTGAGAATACAAAATAGATACCAAAATAGTATTTAAACCTTAAATTTTTCATCGTCATTTTTTTACCTTGAATTATTTGTTTCATTCTTCTTCCCTTAGATTACTTGTCTATACGGTAGGAAAAGAAGAATTTTAGGATGAATAGATCTAGTTGATCAGAGTTTGACAAACCATATATATATATATATATATATATATGTATAAATTTTAAAATAATAATTGACTGTTTATCTAGTAATTACATGATAGGAAATTTTATTACACTCACTTGGGCTTAATAAAGTGGTTAATTGTTATTGATTAATGATACAGCACATCGGTGATTTGCATAATAAAATTAATAATTAGCTAACCAATGACTTAGGATTGAGTAATAAAATTTTGAGATGAATGAATAAATGATTTACAATTACTAATAATCAATACATTAAATCAAGATGCATAATTAATTATTTTAAAGTATTTTTATTAAAATATTTATTTTCCATGTTGCCATATTTGCAAGCTTCTCACAGACCAATGGATTTGGACATATGTTTGTGGATCTAAAAAATCTTGGTTCTCGTTCAATATGGGCCTTGTCCTTTCCTAGAAGCTTTGGATCGCATAGCCCAAGGAACAACACAAGGCCTTTTTTAATACACTCAACCACATTGGGCCAATGTATGGGCCTAGTGGATCAGCCCAATTAGTAAGATATTTGGGCCTAACGTTTTCTTGGGCCATTGCAGCCAAATTTTGGGTTCGACGATTCGGTGATGCATGGGAGTCGTGCTCCCATAAGAAGGGAGTGGCTGTAGCAATCTTCGTGCTCGTATGGAATTTGTCTTCAGTTGTGGCTCGCATTTGGGCTGGTAATTAATTATTATTTTTCCTTCCTTCTTTTTCCATTATAAATTGTGTTGAGGTTACGGATTGTTATTTAAGGAAATTAGTGGGGCTATACTGCAAATAGTGATAACTAGAGGGCCTTGTTTTGATATTACAGCATTTATGCTCTTCGTGGCGTTTCGATACTACCAGCAATCTATACTAACAGACGACTGGGTGGAGGAGGATGAGGTGGAGGAAGTTGGAGACACGTGTCAAGCTTCTATTGGAAAGGAAAAACATGGCAGTGGGCCCCGTTTTGGAGGTATGACCAATGCCAAGCAAAAGAAGAAATTTTGAGTAGACCCCTATTTTTCATGAAATAAACAAATTTTGTGGACCCTTTCAATTGGTTTCTTGGTCATTTGGTTTTTGTTGCCATAGAAGTTATATTTTTGCGATGTAAATATTTGTGGATTACTTCAATAAAATCAAGCAATCCCCATTATAGTTTTTCTAGAATTTCTTTTGCTTTTGAGATGACATTTGAGAGGTGTTTACAATAATGAACAAATTAAAAAAAAAAACATTATCAAATTAATCTTTAGTTATTGAAGGTTGATATATGTTTATTATATTTTCCATTAGGAGTTTTTGTCCTTGATATTTAGGTGTTTTTTCAATTTTGTTCTTGCTATTTAAAAAGTTTCAATTTAGTTTTTTTAATATATTCAACATTTTTCTACAATATACCATTTTAATTGGCAATCATCAATAATAAACTTGCTTAGTTGATTGGTTTAAATATGAAAAAAAAAAAGTTATCTAAAAGACAGCTTTCTAATTCTTCGAAATTTAGACTTTTCTTCTTTTTAGAGGTCTAATTTCTCCCTTGTATTCATGTCTGTATTCATGTCAGGTAAGTGAGTTAAACAATGTAGTTAAAAAATGTCAAACATCAGGAGTTAAAATTAAAATTTTTAAATGATAGAAAAAATACCTCAAATATTAGAGATTTTTTTTAGTACTAGAGACTTAGTCTTTTAAACATACATATAAAATAAACATAAAATAAACATAGAATGAGTATTCTAAAATGAAGGGATAAGTAGACACATAAGACTCTTAAAGAGCCTAATTACCAAAATAGAGAATGGGTCAGGTAAAAATTATCAACTACTCATATTCGTCTATTTTTAATAAATAAATAAACAAATTACAAATAAAGAAGAAATCATTTTAGGAAACCCTAGGATCTCTCCCTCTCAAGCTCATTTGCCCCCTCGTGAGAACCCAGTCGCCAGCCACCCTTGCGCTAACGACCTCGAAGTCGGATACAACCCAAGCGACCCTCCTTGAGGCAGCACAATGACCCCTTGGTGATTCTCGACGTTTAGAACCAACAACAAAGCACTCCAAGACACAGCCCACGATCGACAACATCTTGCAAATGGCAGCGTGGCTCCCTTGTGTCGACGACGTCCCTCCACAACATAAAACCTGCAGAGGCGACAACCCTCGACAGTGTTTCCTCCACGACGTTGGTTCTCCAGCAGCGATGGTTTCAACCAGCTGCAACCCACATCCCGCGATTATTTCCCTTCCCCCACGACGTCATCCGAACGATAGCAACGACCCTTCATGAACAACAGTACAAACTCAAATCTAACTCAGCGGTTAGTGATAATGACGCTTCCCTTGACACGAGCAGGGGGCAACGACTTGGTGAGGGGAAGTGATGTCACGAAGTAGAAAAATAGTATATAGGAGTATATATTATATAATATATTGGGGTATATTATTATGATACTCTATCGTACTCAAAGTTAGGTTTAGATTATATATATACACCTAACTTATACTTCTCCAAAGTGTTATATATATATTTATATATATATTATATTATATACTGGTCGTTATAATATATTATATAATCTAATAATTTAGTATATATCAATAAAAAGTATATATTAATAAGTTTTTGGAGGAGTAAATATTTATTGAAAAAGAAGGTCAAAAAGAAATTATTGAAAACAAAGACATGTGAAAAAAATGAAAAAAAAAAGAAGAAGATAATTAAAATATGAAAAAATATTTTGGAGGAGTATGTTTATCATATTATGAAAAGAAAAACGTCAGGAAAAAAAGACGTTGATAAAAGAAAAGACACCCAAAAAAAAGATAAATACGCTGAAAAATTAAAATAATAACTGCTCACAAATTAAGCAAAGAATAAATTTGAAAATATAAAATCTTTAATAAATATAAGAATACTTATCTTAATTGGAAAATAAATATATGGAAAGTATCAATACAAATAGACGTAATAAATACGAATGATTTTTTTTTTTTGGAAAATAATAAAATCTGAATGATTGAAATTATTAAAAAAAAAGATAATATAATAAAAAATAGTAATAAAATATAAAAGTGAAATATTTCATCCAAATGGAGATTTGTGAAACAAAATGTAGTGAATTCTAATCACAATCGTCGAGAAACGTTAATCGAATTAAGACATCATTAGGATACGGGCCGGAGCGAGTTCCGATTTGTCGGCCCTTGAAGCGGGGCCATCAAATTCTATGTTTTTTGTGTCGGAAGTGAAGCATGTGGCGATGTGGTCCATAATACACAGAATCGGGTCCAGTCAATGGCCCATGGGCCCAATCAATATCTCTATGTCAGACATAAGATATGGGCCCAGCTAACTTCTGACAGTTCAGCAGCCTGCCACTTGGAAGTAGGGCCTCACAATCAGGATAGATTATGGTTTTCTTTTTTTCCTTTTCCGGGAGTTTACTATTTACACAAAAAAAGAAAAAAAAATTGTTTACATATATTTGTACATGTATTATAAATAGTGAGGACTTTTATAAGATAAGAAAGATTAAATAAAGGCATATGTTATAATTACGATGGTACTTAAAGTAGGATGATTAGTATCTTAAACCGACACTAAAGAGATAAGAAAGAATATAGATTAATGAGATGTTGCGAGCAAAGAAAAAGTAGAAACAGTATTTGAATGTAATGATTTTACTTGTTGTAGAGATAAATATAAGTTTTTACTCAACATATAACTCAACTAGTTAAAATCATATTCGACAAAAAAGTTGGAGGTTCAAATCCTCATCTCTACCGGCATTCAACTCAACAAATGAAAAAAAAAGTTTAATTTCATTTTATGAATTTTTGGGGCTTACTTTCAATGTTATTTTCTCAATTTTGTGTTTGGGGAATTTGTTTCAAATAAATAACATGTTTTGAAACAAATTTAATAAAACGTTTAGATATTTTTGCATTAAACATTCTCTGTTGTTAACGTTTCTGTTTCTTGTTTTTTTAAGAAATTTAAGCATTTTACAACTATATATGTTTCTCGTTTCTTCCTTTTAGGAACATTCTTAAAATATATAGAAATTTTGAAAACAACAAAAACAAATTTCTTATTTATTTCTATTATTTCTAATTTATTCCAAAACATAAAGAAAAATATTGTTTTATCATACTTGAATACATATGTATTGGGAGAATGTAATTCATTTTTCTCTATTAAAAAATAAGAAAACAAAAATGTTACCAAACTACAGACTACGGTCCCTCGAATTCTTTTTTGCAGATGAAGATTAAACATAATTAAGAGATAAGGTTTCAAGCAAAAGAGAAAAAAAATTGTGTGATAGTATGGAAATTAGTGCCAATCAATTAAATAATAGTGTGTTTTGGCACATCAAAAGTGACCCATCAAAACATCTTGTTGTTCACTTTTCTTTCAAGTTTGGTATAAAATCAATGCCAAAACTCATTTTCAATCAAAACCATCGATCCAATAAGAGAAATAATGCATCTTAGGTACATGTATTTCAAAATTTTAATCAATTTGAAAACGATTATCACATGTAAACACATGCAAAGGTTTGGTAAAATTTCTACCCAATTCTATTGCAAAGACAAAGCCCATGTTACATATTTTGTTAAAGCATAACCCTTTTCATTTACCTACACATCCCCAAAACTAAGGCATCACATGGAGTTAAAGCTAAAGTTTATGTATCATTCTCTCATTTTGGTTGAGACTTTGAGAGGGACACTTAGAGTTCGTTTGATAACGTTCTCGTTTCTTGTTTCTGTTTCTTCATTTTTAATAAAAAAAAAATAGAATTGTATAGCCCAACATCCATGAATTCAAGGATGATCAAATAATATCTATATTTATATGTATGGTAACAAATTTGAAACGAAAACAAGAAGCTTGTTCTGATTGTTTCCAAAATTTTATACAATTTTGAGAATGTTTCCAAAAAATGAGAAACAAGTAACATATTTAGTTGCAAAATGTTTAAGTTTCTCAATAAAATTTGAAGACGAGAACCAGAAATGGGAACGCTAACAAATGGGTCTTAGAAGTTAGAATAAAATTTAGTTGCTATCTCGGTCACACGTGAAACACTTGTTAAATTTTCCCAACTATTCTCTTTTTGTGCTTAGAAAAAGAGTGTGGGATCACGAGGATGGTAAATAATTCATTTTGGTGCGATATACCTCGGCAAGAGCCACTCCCATTGTTAAGATTAATGATAAGGTTTGAGTAATTGGTTCTATTTACTTGAACTAGGTTTTAAAGAAAGTTCATGCCAAACCAACTCAAAACATGATCATGAAACAAACTTATAAGCTTAAGTTTAGGTTTGAACAATTTGATAATTGAAATTCAAATTTTAACTCTTTATTTGAGAGTTTGAGTTTATTTTTTGCAAGAAGATTGTAACTTTGTGGCTCATGCGGCAGCGAAATTGGTTGTTGATCGTCGTCTGACCGACATCATTTGGCTGTTGCCTCTGGTGTTGAAAAGATCGCAGTGTTGTAGAAGTCAGTGGTGCTATATTTTTTTAATTTATTTTTCTTGCCCTACTTAATGTAAAAAAGAAAAAATAAATCTGAAAAATATTAGATTTTTTAAAATCCGACTCATCATAACTATATGAAATAAAGTGGAGTTGACCTCACTATATGTCATATATTATTTTGTGTAATTGATTGAATCTTAAATATTGAATCAAATTTATAAGTAGAGAGTAATTTAGGGTGTGTTTGGTTGGTAATTAGAAAATAAAAATTTGAAAATAAGACATTCAAACAGAGTGTATCATATTTGAAAGTGTATCATATTTGAAAGTGTATCATATTTGAAAATGGAATCTCAATTGAAAAAATTAATTCACTATTTAGATCACAAAATATAAAAATAATTTTGAAAAACAAATTCCTAAAATAGATGGTCTAGCCATCATGAGATTTGAACCTGTTTTCTCTTCATTATCCTAACCCCTTTGGACCAATGGACTACCCATGATGATTATTTTTAATTACGCTTTCATAGATAAATGATAAAGAAAAACTCAATTATTTTGAAAAAAAAAAAAAAAAAAGTCAAGAATGTTAGGTTGCTTATATAGTTTGCTTGTGTTTTGTGATTTTCTAGCTAAAGTTGAAATGAATGGCCAATATTGTTTAATTGT